TTTTTAAAATGATATTTAGGAAGAAACCATCTTGTTCACTCTCGTTACAAAATTAAATTTTAAAAATATTTAGAACTGCTATTATCATTGTATGAAGTTTATGGATAATATATGTGCCTTTAAGTTCTTTAGTGCCTGTTTGCAGTAAATTAATTCCATCAAATGTTCTGCAATTGTTTCTGTCCCATTGATTTGAAGAATATCAAATTATTGATAATGAATTCTATAGAATAGTGGTTTTCATTTTTTTTTTTGAAAAACATTCTTTAGTGTGATTTGGGTATTGTATTGAACTAGAAATAATTTCTTTGAATAAAATGCTAAACTCTAAAGAGCCAATGTATCATTATTCTTCTTAACTTGCACTACAATGAGACTATATGCCTCCTTTGGCCTATAGTAGTTGGTTTGACTTGTGAAGGATTTAATTTGGTTCGTCTTTAAATATTTCTTACGAATACGAAGAGAGTTCTTGGAAGCTTAGAGAAAACCTAAAATTAATCATTTAATTTGACATATATGTGCTCTACTATTTAAAGTTTCTATTGCCTTACAGATTTATCAGTTTAATTAATACATTTAACCTGTCATTTGTATCACAAACTACATTTTACCTCCTTTTACATATATACAAAATTACGAATTTACCATGTCATAGTCAATGGCCCTTGTGTTGGTCTTCTAGACTTTTCTTCTGTAAAGTGTTTTTGTAGTTTCTCATTTATACTTTATCTTCTTTTCTCTGAATCTCGTGTTTTACAACATAAATCTGCCGTTATTGTTATTGTAATTTACATGTTTTCCACTTTGTCTCCACCATCGAACTCACTGTTTTCTCCTTCAATTTGACAATTGGTACTTGTTGATGAAGTGTTTGTTTTGTCGTATTTTACCTTTGATTTCATGTTTTTCCATTCTGAATTATGTTCCTACGATTGACTCGTCCCTCTGTTGCTGCAGTGGCATTGACTTGTCAAGATGGAGAGAACTTCTGAAGCAGAAAGGACAAGTTGCTGATTTAGAAAAATTTACTCAACATGTGCATGGAAATCATTTTATTCCAAATACTGCTCTGGTAGATTGTACAGCAGACTCTAATGTCGCGAGCTGTTACCATGACTGGCTGTGTAAAGGGATTCATGTAATCACTCCAAACAAAAAGGCCAATTCGGGGCCACTCGATAAGGTAATATCAATTTTAGTAATTTTGGCTATTAGAACTTGTAAAAGTTCAATCTTCCTTTAATTCATTAGTGGCTCATCCTCACTGAAAGGTTATTTGGATGATGTTTATGTACCGGTATATATATATATATATATATATGTGTGTGTGTGTGTGTGTGTGTTACTAAAAATGTTTATCTTAATGATTTTGCTTGGTGCAATTTGTTTCAGCTTAAACTTTCTATCTGACTGCATCTTTCACTTTTTTCTCTAATTACATTTTATATTACTGGATTTGTCTCTCTGCTTTGTTGATATGCTATTTGTGTGAAACACAGTACCTAAAGCTGAGAGCTCTTCAGCGGCAATCCTACACACATTACTTCTATGAAGCAACTGTAGGAGCAGGTCTTCCAATTGTTAGCACTTTACGGGGCCTCCTTGAAACCGGGGACAGAATATTGCGCATTGAGGGCATTTTCAGGTGAGTTATGTTTTCATGTAGTTTTATATCTCCTAATGTGCATTATTTGACTTTGACATGCTTTATTATTACTTGCAGTGGCACTTTGAGTTATATTTTCAACAACTTCACCGGTACTAGAACCTTCAGTGAAGTGGTGACAGAGGCAAAAGAAGCAGGTTATACTGAACCTGATCCCAGGGATGATCTTTCTGGAACTGATGTTGCAAGAAAGGTAAGTGTTCAAATTTTCTTTGCTCCTTTAGTTATATATGTAATTAAGTTGATGTTGTCTCTGACAGTTATGAAAGGGGTTTTTAACGAGGCATCCAATTCTTATAAAAAAATTGACACGTGCAGAAGGATGTATAGATAAGTAGGCTTCCTCAAACATAGAGAACTTAGCTTGTTTGAAATGTATGCTTTAATTCATTCTAAGTAATTGATATTTCATCATCAGTTTAGCATTGTATAAATCAACAGACATTAATTGGAATGATACATTTTGTTAGTGTAAAAAGAAGGTTATTTTGTTGAATAACTTGTATATAACTATAGTACAAGGCTACAAGCCCTAGGTATTTATATACCACCAGGGAAAACAATGAAACTATCTAGAAAATTCTTCTAAATCAGTCCTAAAAATCAAGATTAAAATTCATTCCTAAAATTTAGTCTAGGAATAACCATGATGGTTTGGAACTGTCATTTCTTGCATAGTTTAACTGCACCTGGTCTATGCTCACTGCATTTTGATGAGATTGGATTCATATGTTGATTTCCATTTTGTAGGTGATAATTCTTGCCAGAGAATCTGGCTTGAAGTTGGAACTTTCTGATATAGCTGTTCAAACCCTGGTTCCAGAACCACTGAGAGTAAGGGTTAACTTTTCCGTGTTACTGAAAAGAAATGATTTCGATGCCTAAAAGACATGATACTTTCATTTGCCTTTGCAGGCTACCGCATCTGCTGATGATTTTATGAAGCAATTACCTCAGTTTGACACAGATATAACCAAGGAGAGACAGGATGCTGAGGAATCAGGGGAAGTAAGTATTCAGTTTTGGTTTCTTTGTTTTCCCTATTTTGTACTTGTATTATAACACTCTGACAAACTTTCACCGTGCCTGTAAATGCGGATAAAAAATTATTAAAAAAGCAATAGCAAGGCATGCTTTGAGATGTGCCTTAATGCAAGGTGACTAGGAACCTGTGTTTTAAAAGAAAGACATAATATTAAAATTAGCCCCCAATATTTACTAAAATGGTTATTTTGGACCTTATTCTTTTTTTTTGGAGCATTTTGCCCCCCTACATTTCCTTTTAGGGGCAAAAAGGCCCCTAACGTTTGATCGAATGGTCACTTTGGCCCTTATTCTTTTTTTATGGAGCATTTTGACCCTCAACATTTCATTTTAGGGTAAAAAGGGCTCTATTTTGGAGCGTTAACAGCTTGCTAACTAACGGTTTTCATCCATAAATGGGGTTTTTGCCCCAAAATTTAACATTCGGGGGCCGAAATGCTTCCAAAAAAAAAGAATAGGGGCCAAAATGACTATTTAATCAAACATTAGGGGTGCTTTTTTGACATTATGCCTAAAAGAAAGGTGTCAGTTTATGAAAAAATTTCTTTCTATTTCAAGTCGCTCAAAAACGGGGGCAAAAGTGAAAGTAGTGTGAGGTATACAAAGGAATTGTTTGTCTATTTCTTAGCTGAATTCCCACGGACAGATAATTTAATGTTGCAGTGATCATTAATTTTCTTAAAAATTGTTTCGAATTTTTCAAGGTTGATACAACTGTTATGTTGTTCATGTTTATTTACTAATTTTAGGATTGATGCTAAGGAGATGAATGAATGCATTAGAGAACCTTTCGAAAGTCATTCATTCTAGTAGGAAATATACCTTTGCCCTCCAACTGCTGAAAAAGTTGATCATGAAAATTACCAGAGTTTTGTGGGTTAGGATTCGCAAGGCTTTTCATTATTCAACAGTCTTCTCTTTCTGTTGTTGTTGTGTGCGTGCTATATATAATGTCGAAATTTCTCTGAAGGTAATTCCAAAATCCTTTTTGATTCGAATCATTCTTTGGCAGGTACTGAGATATGTTGGAGTGGTGGATGCCATTAATCAAAAGGGAGTTGTGGAGCTGCGAAGATACAGCAAAAGCCACCCATTTGCACAGCTCTCGGGATCCGACAACATCATAGCTTTCACAACTACAAGGTACAAGGAGCAACCATTGATAGTCCGTGGTCCAGGCGCTGGTGCCCAAGTTACAGCTGGTGGAGTATTCAGTGACATTTTGCGGCTTGCCTCATACCTCGGTGCCCCATCGTAGGGATGTTGAATGCTCCGATTTAGGGCACTCTTTTGTCTTCAGTTTTACTGCCGCGTATGTTGATTTAGTGTTTAAACTCCAACTTACACAGAATTTCTTGAAAAGTTGAAGCTCTTTTTAATTCAGGGGTTTTGGACTGAATTAGTGATAAAATAGTGCCAGCTATGATGCCACCCACCATGTTTATAAAGAACGAAGCAGCAGGTCTTTTGGATTGTGGAATGGAAATACAATTCAGTTAAAGAGATTAGATCAGGGTTCCACCAACGTATTTATTACAATAATTTTGGATCGACGTAAAAAATTTATTATGTAATGAGTTGAATGGGGTTGAGGGTAAGATCTATCGAGGCTCAAAAGTATGGGAGTGTCGGATTTGGGATTTCGATTGCTCTTTGGATCTTTAGTAAATTGGGTGTTATTTGAAAGCTTAAAGGTGGTTATTTTGTGAAATGACTTAATGTGGAAGATGATGAATACTTTAACAAAGCAATATACTCTTGGTCTCACTTCTCGTGAGATGAGAAACATACAAGACATATCGTGAGTTAATTGAGTTTAATTTGGTCAAAGTTTAATCAATACTCGAAGCTTGTTTACAGCACTTGTTTACGGCTCTAGTTGGAGCTGTATTAACTTGTTATCCTTGTCCTTTTTATAATGCCGTATATTCATTTGTAATTTGAGCTTTGTTAAACCACATGCTGTATGGACCAATATAATAATAATTTTATTGAACTTTACATAATACTTCAATTAACATCATTGCTGACAATGTTATTTATTGCCCACAAATAAACAATTATATTTTCCAAATTTAAAAAATGCTGATTCTTTTAAATATATAAAACTCAAGTTTTATGTATTATTACAATTACATTAGTTCAATCTTCTTGCTGTATATACAATACACTTTTATTTCATACTATCTAATTTTGAAAATTGTCCCTTTTCTGGAATATTTTTCTTTTCCATCCCACTTTATTGCAAGCTTTTATCAAGCCAAATTTTGTTTACATAACAAACACTTACAACAAGTCTGAATAACAGAAAAAGTAAACCCTACAGTTAACACTAGCTGTATTTCACATGAGTGAACGACACACAACTAGACCCCTTCTGTTGGCACTCTTCACATCAAGATACCACTCGATATTTAACCATTAAAATCACCCTTCTGTAGGCACATGAAAGTCCATGGGCATGAAAAACATTTGATTTGATGTAATGATACTTGAGACAAATATTTATGCAAAAATTAATCAATTAGACACTTTGTGATTCATAGTTTTCAATGTCTAAATGCTAAGCACTAACATGACAGGGATTTTCCATTGGGATGATTCATTTGAGTTGTGGTTTTTGCATAAAATTTGTGACGACTCTCAGCTGATCTTTAAGGCTAGACTGTAGCTCCTTGGGGTGGAGTACTTCTGGCTTTTCTAAGACTTTTACAGTAGATCTTGCTGCAAAATTGATCTGCAAGAGACAGAGTAGAAAATGGTGGTAACCACAAAGAAAAGGCTATATGACATGTGATAATATTGGATGAGTGATTTAGAACAATTATTTGTGATGCTCAAAAAAATAAATATCTAACATTTCATTCTCCATCAAAGATATTATGCAGCAAAGTGTCAACCAATTCATAAATAATATTATACAGGCAATTCTCGATTGGTGCATCAAGATGCCAAGCATAATTTCGAAAAACAAGACAAAAATGTGTTTAAGTTTTGGCAGATACATAACAGTTAAGTATGTGCTCTACAAGTGGAAGCAGTCCACGGGGAAAAATACCTATTTTCAGAAAAAAAGACTTGCAATTTCCAAACAAACCATAGTTAAGGCATTCAAAGGGCAGGCCTCGTTGTGCTCTTACAGAAGCAGATCGTCACCCTCTTAGCAAATAGTAACTTTCAAGTTGGTTTAGCTAATGCAATGATATAAGGTATCATCAATAAACCATTTATAGTTCCCGGGTTGAACATGAAGAAAAAAATGTTTAAGGGTTCACGTATTTGAGTCAATCTTATTTCTACGTATTTGAGTCAATCTTATTTCTACCTTTCCTTGTTCTCCGCTTCTTAAAAGCCGGGCAATATTTTTTTCTAGGCATCATAATCATATTGCTAGGCAATTGTTCTCCGTGTAAGAACCACATATCCAAAACTTTTCTCCTATAAATATGCAGTTGGAAAAAGCAAGGAAGTAGTACAATAATCATCTAATTCGACTTCCTCAGCATCTTGCTTATTCGAGAGATAATCCTTAGTTGTGCACCTTTACACCTACCATTCCTTGCGTCTAACGAATTAGTTACCAGCAAATGTGTCAAATGAAAATACCAAAGGTATGAACCCAAGTTAACATTTAAATTTATGACGATAATTCTGCTATGACGATCGACGACATAGGCAGTCAGTGAGGAGACACTAGGCACAGTACCGGAGCAGCTTCAATGAAAAGCTAAATTCACAACTTAATTTTTTATAGTTGGTTTTTAATTCTTCCTATATATAAACAACCTAATCCGACATGAAGCTATTACCTCAAACATAAAATCCCTTTCGTAGTAGATACAATCATAGCATTTCACCAATGGAGATGATCCAATACAACAAACATAACATGCACAAGTTTTGTACAAATCAAAATCAGTAAAATTGGTAAGCCAAGAACAAACAATTCTACTACTTAATGAAATATAATTTTTCTTAAGAAAAAGTTGATAGCATCCATACCGAACTTGAAGCCGTTTTGAAGAAAGCTTTTGCTAGAGGCACTATGCAAAACCTTTTGAAAATGAAACGAAAAGAACCAAAAACGACAGAAAAAGATGATTAAACAAAGCAATTCCCATTATTTGATTCGATAGGGGAAGAAAGAGGGAAAACTTACATTCCTCGGCCACCAGAAAGGGCTTCTTCCGATGGGTCTTTCCATTCATCAAAGCTGCACTCAATATGAAACATATAAATAAAATTCTTGGAAATTTCAAAACTAAAACAGCGAAATTACATATACAGAGAGAGAAGAAGAAGAAGAAGAAGAAGAAGATTTGAAGGTCTTACACCCAGCCATAACGGCGGTCGAATAGCAGGCGTTTCGAAGATGGTTTGCTGTTTGTTAACTCCATTCACGACTTTTGTTTTCCCTTTCCCTTTAAGCTCTTCTCCTTCAACCTTTTTTTTCCCCAATTTTCTTCCACATTCCACATCAGGGGTTTGGGTTTTGAATTGCCTAAATTCACTATTTGACCCTTATATTTTATCAGTTTTCTCATTTTGCTGCTCATTTATTTTTTCTTGTCTATTTTGTGCATAAACTACCATTTCCCCTCCATTTCATCAAAAAAAAAAATCCAACTACAAGCTAACGTTGAAAGGGATTAAATTATCAAACTTCTTAAAATCTAGATTTATTAAATATATAAATTCAAAATTTAAAGAGAAAGAAGGTCTAATTTAACTAATATTTTGTCATTGATTATCCATAAAAACACAACATAATATCAAAATTAATCCCAAAATGTTACTAACCTACTACAAGAAAAATATATATCTTCATGGATATCATATTTTTCTAAATCTGAAATTCAATGAAGATTTAAGATGAATTCCAATTTTTTTGACAGTCTTCAGTAAATTATGTCTGCTCCTTTGCCTACCAATTACCCTACACATCCAAAAAAAAAAAAACTCAAACTCCTCCATCCAAAACTCCACAAAGAACTCAAACTCCTTCAAATTTACAAGGAGAGAAAAATCAGTCCCAGGAGAAATTACACAATTTGGGAAATATTAAGAATTGGAATTGAATATAGTTGTTGATGAAAGTATGAAGTTCACTCATAATTCGATTTCTTTTGTGTATAATTTTAATATACCTATTTCTGAGAGTAAAGGGATAGAAAAATGTATAAGCCATCGTATACAAAGATACGCTGTATATGAGAAATTAATGCCTTATTAAAAAATTTAATTGCTAAAATTCATAGTATTCAAATTTCACAATCAATACATGAATAAAGGACCCTTGGTGAAAAAAAGGTGATTGATGAAGAAGTAAAGGCCTTAAAATCAGCAACACTTGGATTCTTGTCAAGTTACCACCAGGAAAGAAAGTAGTGTGATTGAGGAAGAAATAAAGGCCTTAAAAATTAGTAATATTGAGGTAAACTTAATGAAATCACATACGTAAATGTGAAGGATTAGTCACGTTCTACGAAAGATTTTAGGCAGTCTTCCCATATCACTTACTAACATCTTGAGGTATACTTAGTTAAATTTGTTGATATATCGTAGAACCCATTTGGTGAAGATATTAGTCGTATGTTATGAGCTTTACTCATATTTTAGTAAATTATAGATTTATTCATTTGTTAAGAGAAGAATTGTTCATTCTATTATGTATTAGTTTCAGATACGTTCGTTAATACTTAAATAATTAACTTCATTGTTGATATTTTTTCGTATTCAAAATTATCTATTTATTTGTATTATTAGGGGATAATTCGTAATGCAAACAGTGGAAGACTATTTTTAGAGATCGAATTATTCAAATTTAGGGAGTAGTCGTATTGGATAGTTGTAATTTTACAATCTTACTCCTATACTACTATACAATTGGGAGATTAATTTTATTATTGTTCTTTCTTAACTATTAATAACACATATATAATAATACAATTGCTCAAACGGAGAATTTAAATATATATATATATATATATATATATATATATATATATATATATATATATATATACTCTTTTAACTGCTAAAAGTCTTTTTACATTGCTCTGATTGCAGATTACAAACATAATGGGCAAGCAATGGGAGCTCAATGATTAAGAGGGTCTGATGCAATGCACGTAGCTTAGGTGTAAATGTGTCATTTTCAGTACATGGCAACATGTCTTGGCCTATTGAAGCCACGTTTCTTAATGCTAAGTGCCATGTGACATAGTCAGACCAAACTCATTATCTTTATTATTGACTTCTTAATTTATTAACAAATCTTTCACATGAGACTGTTGTATTCTGCCACCTCTCCTACCTGCATGCAATTTAGGTTCACTTTTCTCAAAAATCTGAAGCACACTTGTCATCTCATTCCATGGCCATGTTTCAACCCTCTTATCCAATTGGTTGCACCCATAATTCCCAACAACCTATTTATTTGTGAAATTGGACCTAGGTTTACTCGTGTATATATAAACCCTAAGTTTGCATCATTTTCCAAACTTACTTCTTCTCTTCCCATTCGATAAATTTCCATAACTTGCAAATATGGAGTGGTCTCCTCAAGATGCCATGAAAGCTTATTTGGACACTCTTCATCTTGTAAGTTGTTTTTTCTTTCTATTTCCTACTTAAAAAACATATTTATATTTATTAATTTTAAATAAATATGTGTAACTCAACTTAATTCAGATCGTGGGATTAATCTTCTAATACTTTATTAGTCTGAATGTAGTAATAGAAAGTAGATATCAGATTGAGCTAAACTTATACTAAATTAAAGTAGAGTAGTTAATTTTTTATTTCAAATTATTATAGGGACTAAAATTAGAATTGTACCGAATTAAGAATGATTTTGTGAAGTACCAAACGAAATTTTCAGTTCACTTTCAGTCTTTCACCAATATCCATATAATTTGTTTTATGGTTAAATTATGTATTTTGTCTTTTAATTATCACTTTGGTTTGTTTTGGTCATCTAATTTCTTAAATCATTTTTAAATCATCAATAATGTTATATTTTAATTATCCACTATTAAAAAATTAACAGTAATATGTCAAATAAATTTATCATATTATTATTAAAAAAAAATCACGTAAGTAATTCTATTATGTTTTTAACGACAAATGATAAAATGAAGAGAAAATAACCTCAGTGACCAAAAATCTTAGATAATATACGATTTTGACCAATTTTTTTTTTGATTTGCGAAAATGACCAACAAAATCGCAATGCGATCTCTAATTCGCATTGCGATCTCCATTATCGCAAATTCGCGTTGCATTTCGCGTTGCAATAGTTGAAAATCGCATTGCGATTTTCCATTTCGCGTTGCGATAGTTGAAAATCGCAACGCGATCTCCACTATCGCAAATTCGCGTTGCATTTCGCGTTGCGATAGTTGAAAATCGCAACGCGATCTCCACTATCTCAAATTCGCGTTGCATTTCGCGTTGCGATAGTTGAAAATCGCGTTGCGATAGTCTACAGTTGTTGTTGCGATTTTCCAAATTCGTTGCGAAAATTCATTGTGATAGTAAAAAAAAAGATTTTGTTTCTTAAGAATTTTCTCTAAAAAGATAGTATCCGCGCGGACGTGTCGAAGACACGTATTACCACGACCACAACCCGAGACGGACGACGGCGGCGGCGGCGGCGCGCAAGAGTCCCCCTTGTTCTCTATCACTCAACAAGGAAGTGGGAAAGCCAAGCCTTAAATACCATTCCCAATAGTGTTTCCAATACAATGTGGGATTGAGCATTACCAACACTTGTTTCCAATACAATGTGATTATTCAGGAAACAATTAACAATCATGCACCTTAAAACAACTGAATCATCAACCAATTGTATTAGTATTATACGATTAAATATGTCATAATTAAAAGTCAATCTACAATCAATCGCGATTATTGCAATTTTAAGCAAAACATTCAAAAATAATATCACTATTTAAGGCTCAATCCCACATAGTATTGGGAACAAGTGTTGGTAATACTCAAATCTCACATAGTATTGGAAACACTATTGGGAATGGTATTTAAGGCTTGGCTTTCCCACTTCCTTGTTGAGTGATAGAGAACAAGGGGGACTCTCGCGCGCCGCCGCCGCCGTCCGTCTCGGGTCGTGGTCGTGGTCGTGGTCGTGGTCATACGTGTCTTTGGCACGTCCGCGCAGATACTATCTTTTTAGAGAAAATTCTTAAGAAACAAAATCTTTTTTTTTAACTATCACAACGAATTTGGAAAATCGCAACGACAACTGTAGACTATCGCAACGCGAAATGCAACGCGAATTTGCGATAGTGGAGATCGCAATGCGAATTAGAGATCGCATTGCGATTTTGTTGGTTATTTTCGCAAATCTAAAAAAAGTTGATCAAAATCGTATATTATCTGAGATTTTTGATACTGAAGTTATTTTAAAATCAAAATATAATATTAACTATGATTTAGAAAAGTAATTGAATGACAAATAGAATCAAAATAACAGTTGGCAGACTAAATACATAATTTATCTTTATTTTATTTCTTAAACATGCAAATATAAAACATATATCAACTGTCTCTCACAGCAAGGATGACTGTAACGAAGATGACAAGGCAAGAGTGATAGAACCCAAATGCATGGAGTTGATATCAGCCATGCAGCCGGCAAAGGAGCTAAACGAATACTCGAAATCACAACACAAGGCATCACGCCATTAACGATCGCACTCGCGGTGGCCGCAAAGCACACCGGCGGTCAACTTATTTGCATTCTTCCGTCCCCACAATCATCGCACCACATCGATCATGGACAACAACAACAACATTCGAACTCGGTAACGAAAACTAAACTCCATACGGCTGATCTTCAACGATTCATAAAGTGGATGCATGCCGGCAGCACCCCTTGCGAGATTACGAGGCAAATAACGCAGCTGCAGTTGAACAAGGTAGATTTTGTGGTGATTGATTGCAGGTTCGACGATGATTACTTGAAACTAATGTTTAAACAGTTGGATGGCGATGTGATTAAAACAGGGTCAACAGTGATAGTTCATAACGTTGATGATAGGAAAGATGGATGGGTTTGCAGATTGGGTCAACTTTTGAGGAAAAGGAGAGTGGAATCTGTAACTCTTCCGAAAGGAGAAAGAACTGAGATGACCAGAGTTTTAGGAGACGAAATAGATTTCTCGTCACCCTTCACTATTAGTTTATATTTAATTTTGTGCTTTCTCATATTTAGGAGACGAGGTAATTCTACAGATCACTATGACCTACAATTGCATCACATACTCATCGTTGCACTATAATATAGCCGATTTAACAAACAATCGATTTTTTCTTCGTTTTCTTTCTTGAACTATCTAATGAATTGGGAGCTTTAAAGAGAACAAAAAAGCACAGATACCACTAGGTATCTACTGAAAATTCTTTCAAAATCACCACCAAACAACAGTCCAATTTTTCATGATCAAAAGAAATTAATCTTTCATGAAAATTAAAGAGGATTTTTTCTTACGAAAAATTAAAAATAAATCTCTATTTTCGCACAACACTTCCATTGAATTAGAAGCAATGCAAATGACGAATTTTCTTGCTTTTTAAAGAACAACCTAAATACCAAAGAAAATGGACTAACTTTGCTGCAGAAACCTTGAAAAGATTGAAGAAAAATTGGAGAAGTTATGATGGGAAAAAAAAGAGAATTTTGGGAGAAAAGTTGGTGTTTGGAAGAAAACTATCAACTACGACTAGTAAAAGTTGATACGAGTCTACGCACCATTCTTTCATACCTATCAAAATAAATGTTAAGTCTATCAATAGTTTTTTAAGGATAATTCTCTCCTTTCTACCATTTATAACTTAACATGCGGTCAAACTTATCTCTTAAAATTATGTGATATTTCTATATATATTATATGATGTTTATATAAGTCTACGTACCATTGTTATCTGTAATATCTAATTTTTAGTGTTTCCAGATATTTTACTGTTGTTTCTATAATTGTATGAATAAGTCATATCGTTAGAAACTAGATGTATGATTAAGAATACACACGTATCGATACAAGATTAAATGTTGTTATAATTAATAACATGTGTAATGATGATATATGTTTATACTCATATCTCTCTGCTTACATTTACGATATTTGTTTATATTTATAAATTGTATAGAGTACAATAGAGTAGAATTGTGTCACTGAGCTTGTATTCAGAAGTTTTCATTTACATGTTAGTGGATTATGTTCTTATCAAAAGAGTGCCAACATTAGAGATTTATAGAGTATAATTTTTAATTTGTGTCGGTAGTATATGTATTCATAAAATCTTACGAGTACTTCAGTTTGTAAACTTTACTATTGTTTTAATTTATTTTTATTTATATTATGTCTTATTTGAAGTTTCAGTTTTTGTATAAATATTTGTATTGATTATATATGATTCGATTTTTATTTAGTATGGACTTTGTAGAAGTCTTAGATACATCCGGTTAGAAATTTTAAAAGTTTAATCTTTACGACTATTTCATTGGCCCCATATAACATCTTAGATTCATCATATATATTACGGTTTAAGGTATTATAATAATCATAAGAATATTATTTGGATCTAAACTGATAAATCTAATATCTACTATGCATGAATCCATATTGTCCATCATCTAGTTTCTGGGCTAAGCACGTTTGTACTCTGGACTGGACCATGCTCAAACAGTTGAGTTTCCCTCCAAGTAACATGCCTACATTGTTTTAAAGTGAAAGCTGAAGCAGAAAACCATACTTCTGTTACATCCAAAGACATCTTTGGTTTCTCGCAATTTTAGGATCCCTATCTCACAAAACCGTTGCATTTAGTTTCTCATTCTCTTCTCTTCACATTTCCTTATTTCATTTGTCTATTCTTTTTATAATGAATTTTCCTTGTCTGGGTTTTCTTTCATTTGAATTTTAACTTTTTCTCTATAATCCATAAGGTATTTGTAAGAAAATACTGTTAACTTCTTTTCTTATTTGTGTGTTCCTTCTGATCATTCTCTTTAGATTTAGACTGGTTTATTGTTGTCACGCCTTTCATAAATTTGGTGTTTCATATGGGGAAAAAAGTTGGAAAAACAAAACAAAGGAGATTTTATTCTCAATAAACGGTTTTAGATTATTGGTGGGGAAATTGCAAATGGTTGAGAAGAATTTGAAAAGAATATTGACCTGGGAATCCCATGATTGCATCATGGCGACCCCCTTTGTTTTAATGCATGAGAAGAACATCATAATTGACGAGGTCTAGAGCTATTCAAGACAACAAGGGACTATTGAGGACAGATTATGGGCTGCATGTTCTCACAAGAACCCCAAGGTGAGAATGTTCACGATAACGACAATGAGAAAGCCGGGGAGAAAAAGAACGATGACGACAATGGTGAGAAGGGGGATGGTTCAAATACAGAAGGTGACAAGGAGGGAGTTTCGGGGGGATGGCCGTCATGGTTGGCTTCAGTTGCAGGGGAAGCCGTTGATGGATGGCTACCACGGAAGTCGGACTCTTTCGAGAAGTTAGAAAAAGTAACTTGTCCTCCTCAAAGTTTTTTCTTTCACATGTCTCTTTATTATCATTTCCATTTTTGCTTTTCCTTGACTTCCATTCGGTTCTTATATGGTACCATTGGATCAATTCAACTATCTAGAGAACCTATGTATATAGCTAGTTAAATGATTTAACGATAATCAAAATCTCACCATCTTTTCATCATGAAATTTGGTGCACAATGAGGCTGTGATGTAAACATCATACTTATTTGTGAGAACATTTAGTTCATGCGTCCTTTGACTTGCCTGTTCTGCATATTCGAATTTGTGAATATGAGCTGCGCAATACATAAAAGATGATAATACAGATAAAGTTTTCATATGGATCAGGCATGGTTAATTGGAATACCAATTCTCTTTAAAAGTGCTAAATATGTTTAAGGTGTGGGAAAAATCTCTGGTGCAATGTTAAAAGTTAGATTAACAGCTAATTTTTGGTACTGATCACTACAGAATCTACAGATGAGCATCATTAATCATTCATGCATTCATGTGGGTTAAATATCCTGAGGAGTTTCTATATACATGCGTGCAGGTGGATGCATACTGAAATGGTCATTCAAATTTAATTTGTCTTTGTGTTGATGTTTCCAGTTTAAAAGCAATAATTGACATATTGCAAGAGCTTCATTCTTGCTTATTAGCTGGTGAATATGAATTGCAGTAAATGTGGGTAGGGCATGGCATTTGATGTGGTTTAATGACATCGGAATTTTAAGTTGTTGTCGTTATATGTATTAGACCCTCTTTATTTCTGCAAATATTTTTTAGATTGTGTCACGTATGGCTGTCAAAGAAATTAGTTCGCCAAAAATGTTAAACTAGCTGGGGCCTAGCATGATGTTTTTGCCCATTCTGACATAGTAAGTTCCATATGCAGATTGGACAAGGAACTTATAGCAGTGTATACAAGGCCCGTGACCTAGAAACAGACAAAATTGTCGCCATGAAGAAGGTTCGGTTTGTTAATATGGAACCACTTAGTGTTCGTTTTATGGCTAGGGAAATCATCATCTTACGGAAGCTTGACCACCCAAATGTTATGAAGCTTGAGTGTATAGTCACTTCAAGGATGTCTAGCAGCTTGTATCTTGTTTTTGAGTACATGGAGCATGACCTTGCTGGGCTTGCAGCAACTCCTGGTATCACTTTAACTGAACCGCAGGTACTCCCCTCTCCATTTATTATTTGTTTTGGATAATATCTTGTTTAACTGGGTTTATCTTTAACTTGAAGTGTTCCGGTAATATGGTTTATGAAACGTAAATATTCATGCTTTCTATTTCCTTTTCCCCCCTTTAATTTTCTACATTTCAAGCAATGCCAAATCGATGTTAATTTGATGGACAGTTCAATATGCAAGTGCTACATCCATACACTTCATATATAGAGATAAAGTAATCTTCTGATTCTCATTACAACTTTTTTCTTCTGTCATTTTTCTTATAATGCTAATACAATATCTTACTCGTGTTATATATGTTGTTGGTCTTATAAGAGACATATGTGATTTTGCTGTAGATTAAATGTTACATGCAACAGTTGTTTCGTGGCATTGAACATTGCCATAGCCGTGGTGTCCTGCATAGAGACCTCAAGGGCTCAAACCTTCTGATTAACGACAATGGAATTCTTAAGATTGCAGATTTTGGTCTGGGTGCAACTTTTCAGGTTGATCAAAAGCAGCCTCTAACAAGTCGAGTCGTAACTCTTTGGTACAGGGCACCTGAGCTTTTGCTTGGGGAAACTGAATATGGAGTTGCTATAGATTTGTGGAGTGCTGGCTGTATCCTTGCTGAATTATTTTTTGGGAAGCCTATTATGCCGGGAAGAACAGAGGTAGCCTCTCTTTTATGTTTTGGGATATGACTGCGAATTTGATTTTACATATCATTTCCAAATGCACTTTCATTTTAGTTCTCGTCTATTATGAAAAGCAATGTGTATACATCAGCTTGCTTCTTAAATTCTTGATATGAATATTTTAGGTTGAATTTCAAAAGCCTAGATAAGACGGAAAGTGATAATGTCTACAACATTTTGATGAAAAGCTTATTCTTAAGTAGTTAAGTACTTTATTGATTGAAAGAATTTAATAGTTCTGCAATATGCTTGTTCAATATTTGAATTTTGAAAATGTTTTCCGACAAGAAAATGGGAAAATCCCGACAGCCAATAAGTTATCGAAGACATTTTTTTCTGTCTGTGGTTCCCGTTTTATTCTTAATCTGTCTGGATTATTGCATAATGCAAACTTTTCATCACTACAATCCATGCTCATTTTGGGAGCATTCGCTTCATTAGGTCTTGCTCCTGCATTTTGACATTTGTGTTGGTTATCTGCTCGAAGAAGTTATGTCCATCAACAACTCACTTAACCTAGAAAGGCTCCAATAAACAAGATCTAATGACGTTATGATAAGAAAAAATGTAAAGTTAATGGTAGGGTTGAAGGAGTTTTTAGTTCTCTCATGAAATATTGCGCTGAATGAAGAGAAAATATTAGCTAGTTTGAGATTAAGGCTGAGTAATTAAAGTGTGTTTATCGAAGTTATTAGTAGTTTCTTTAGCTGAATTAACTCCCTAAGAGATTAATATATGTATCCATAATGTTCTATATTTCTTCGGCGATAGATTTTGTGATTATTTCCAGGTGGAGCAAATGCATAAGATCTTTAAGCTCTGCGGTTCACCCTCAGAGGAGTATTGGCAGAAAACAAAACTTTCCCATGCAACTAGCTTTAAACCCCAACAACCTTACCAGCGTTGTCTTGATGAGACGTTCAGAAACTTCCCTGAGTCTGCCTTGTCTCTCGTTGATAAACTCCTTTCAATGGATCCGGAAGATCGAGGATCTGCTGATTCAGCACTTAGCAGTGAGGTATTTAGACAACCATCTATATGCCTTTTTATGGCTGTTTGGTATTTTTTTTCGAAATACAACTTTTATTATTTTTCTCTCCTCTTTAGTTCTTCACATCAGAGCCGTTACCCTGTGATCCGTCATATGTACCAAAATATCCTCCATGCAAAGAACTAGATGTCAAACTTCGTTGCGAGGAAGCAAGAAGGTATGCTTTTTGTGTCCCACTTGTTTCTCTTTGAAAACTTTCTCCATTTATGAAACCCATGCACACTCAAATGCATGACATACAAAATGATGAGTAACCGTGAGTCTGTGACAGAAAATGAAGATTTTGAACGAAATTTCTAGAAAAAAAAATCAAAGACAAATCATTTCAATTACTTTTCCCTCAAGTGTTACTGAGACTGTTTGTGAGATTAAATTTTGGTAGGTTGGAAATTGAAATGGTTAGTCATATAAGGAAGCAGCCTGAATAAAGGAAAATATGTTTTACATGCTAACCTATACTTACCATTACATTATATATTCTATTTTTTTTTATAAATTGCTTTTCTATGTTCATTACATTTTACTTGTTTCCTGTTTATGTGTTTCGTATACTGCAAATTTTAATACCATTGTCATAACTCTGTATAGTCTTATGATGCATATGTCCCATGCTGATGGATTGTTAATAATGGAAAAATGCGAATCACAAGATAGACCTTCCACAACTGTCTTTTTCATCTAGGGAAACCTTTTTTCCCCTTTTGATTTTGTGTTCTCCCATGTAACATTAGAAAAAGAGCAGAGGCTGTAAAGAGGCGAGGAGCTGAATCTATTAAAAGCGGGTCAATGGATTTTAAGGGCGTTCGAACACCAGAATTCATTGCACAAGGACAGTCAAAAACAAGGATCGCTCATATTGAGAGTGGTGCCTCTGGCTTCCAGATTGATTCACGCAAGGTTGCTTTGCAGAATGGTTTATCTCAATCCACTTCAATGATCCACCCTAGTGCTGCAGCAACATGGAATAAGGCAGGTCCTACATTAAAAGAATCACTAATGCCTCAGGAAACTGAAGCTTCTGATAATAAAGAGGATACAACTAACAATCATCCTGTTTCAGTAAGTAACCGACTCTTTCTGCCTGCATTTCCTTATTCTTAACTATTTTTTCCATCATCGTCATCACCATCATATTTTGGTCAGATCATCATAATCGTCGTTACAAACATTGAACTAGATCCGGAACTCAATACATGAATTCACTGGCTATAATTAGCTTAATGGAAAATATTAGATGTTACATCTTACTAATTATGAAATTTCCACCAACAATGAGTGCCGTAATTTGACAAGTTCTAAGCTCACTAAATGAAATTCTTTTTAAACTTGTTTACAAGTATCTAACATGTTTAGATGGTTTTATGTGAACTAGGTATGTCAAATTTTGATTTTCAGATAGAAATCTCTAACGCACACATGCAGAGTTTTATGGTTTTTGATCAGAACTGGTCCTAGTGTACATAGAGACTATCACGTCTTTGCAACAAATGGATAAGCATCATTTGTACAAGAAATTTGCAAACTTTAATCTGTAAATATCAATAAATTGTATTTTGGCCAATACCTTTGATTGTGAGATTGCAGATTATCAGATTATTATTATCTACCGTGTTCCTCCTATCTGATATGATCATCCGTATATTTGTTTCTTCTTTTTCTCTGCATTCATCCCTCCTAACTGGTATTCTGTATACTTGTATGGTGTCTGATTCTTATGTTTTCAGCTGTGTAAACAAATTCTTAAATATGTCAAAATCCTGAACCCGAATAAGATGCGTGTATTAACATGTTGTGTTCATTGAATTGATGTCGTGTTTATTAAAAGTGTTTTATTCGTATCGTATTTTATATCATGTCCAAAATTACTGAGTCTAGTTCGTTGTTTACTAACACATTTCCTCTAGTATATATTCAAAATTTTCTCATCTATTCCTTGGCTGTGTTATTGCAGAGTTTTTTAACAAGGAAAAACAGGTTCCACTGCTCTGGACCACTGATGCCTCCTGGGGGAAATATTGACGATATACTTAAAGAGCACGAGAAACAAATCCAGCAGGCTGTACGTAAAGCACGTCTTGAGAAAGCCTGAACTAATAGAAGTCACAACATTCACAGCGGAAACATAACGGAGGATTTTTGGACAATCATTCGTTAAATGGTTTGATAGCTGCTTCCTTGTGGAAAGCTGGCTTTAAGGTTGTTTGCTGGTTGCTTCCTTGTGAGAGGCTTTCTCCAAGTCCAAGTTTGTCTAACTGTTATCACAGGCAAATCCTAGGTTCAACCCTCGTAAACTTATTTCGGTTCATAGCCGACAACACAGTGAGATTCCTTAGAATATCTAAAAAGAGAGCATACATTTGTGGCATCTTGTTTCCTTTGCTGGAAGATGTTATCTGATCCAACGTTGCACGGTGAACTGATGCCAGGTGGAAGGAACGAAGAAGAGAAACGGTTTAAATGTTTTCTTGGCGACAAGCTGATTATTGTGCTGTAAATACCAGGCAAAGTCTAGCTAAATAGAATATCCAACATTAAAAACTATACAATGATTTCAACATTGTGAACCAAAGTCTTAAACATGAGAATTTTAAATCAGTAGCTATCAATCTACTGTTTGTTGAGTAATATTTAGCCGCAGCACATAATAGGTATTTCAAGCTATATATGATCACCAATACCATTTGTACTGTGATTGTCATCATCAACAGCTTCCTCAATTAATCTCGCTATATCCCCACCAATTTCGTTTGGCAGTATCATATCACCCCAAGATGTACGGGATTTTTTGTCCTTGTTTTTGATATTTTTATGTTTGTTTTGCAATTTATGTTAAAAAAATTATTATTGTTTCTCTGATAAATTATGTATAATTTAGTAATACTAATACTATTGCATTGTATCAAAAAATTGTTGTTGCACAATAGATGAAGGTATAGTGTAAGGTTATTAATAAGGTGGTTATGGCTTGTAAGGGTGTGTATTTTCGGATAACTGGGTTTGAGCTTGGTTAAAATCTTTTAAAGGCCTATTTTTTTTTTGAATTTTCGAATAATCTGAAATTAAAATTTCACTGACCCGTATCTAATTTGAATATCTGATTTTTCTTGGATATTCGGTCTGAATGATTCAAAAATTAAAAATCGGATCGGATATCCAAATTTTCATATCAGATCATATCTTTTTATACACCCCTATTAGTTTGTGGTTCACTTTTTTTTTTATGAACGGAAAATCATAAATTAGGGAAAAAGGAGGGGAGTCTATATTTTTTTGGTCAGTATTTTGTATTGTATCTGTCTTTTTTATTATTATTATTTATATCATCTTCTTGAAACTTGCAACTGTCTTAAGATCAATTCTTAGGTTGTGTTTAGTTTTGTTCTTTATTATGTTAGTGAGACCCCCGATTTAACCCGTGCTCTTTGAGCTTTCTAACGATAAGCAAAATGATATAACACTTATCCTCTAGAGATTATTATAATTTGACGTGTTATCTTTTTATTTGTTCTGGTATTTTAGCTTTTTGTTTCGTTTATTTTCGTGTAATTTTTTATTCATTTCTTTCTGTGTTATGGTTCACCCTTTTTGTTTGGACGTAGAACTATGTCTTGCATCTTATCATAATGAAGCATCCTACTTTGGTCAGCTCCGATAAGCGAGTGGACACATATCATTCTTAGGCATCTCTACGATCTCTTTAGCACTGACCCAACTATGGGGGAATCTCTGCTTGTACAGATGACGGCAACAAACCATGAGAAATCTTGGTGGATCACCTTTTTTTTATTTAAGTCGAGAGCCACGATTTCACAAGACATATCTCACCTGGCATATCAGTGCTTCAAAAGTACTCACATAGGTCATATCGAGAATAACAAGCACTAGACCCCATAACCTTAAATTATTACAAGCTCTTAATTGAGAGAGATGATACCAATTGAGCTATTTGTGTTGGGGGTCCAAAACATAGATGCTTATTAAATTTATCTTCTAGAAAAAAAAGAGAGGATTCAAAAGAAAATTTGTTTTGCATACCAAACTAGTTGCAGTTTTAGCTTAAATACTAAATACCATAATTTAAAAAAAAATCAACTTCAGTACATTATAGTTCAATGATCAAAGTACAACATTAGTAGCAGTGGACATAAAAGTCTGAAAATTAAAGCAAATACAATAATAAGTAGCATCATCCATTCTCAATCATCCACCTTGGATGGAGAAGGAATCAGTTCCATACCATAGATAAATATACAGCAACAAGTTCCTAGTGACAGTTCTAGAGGGAGCCTGTGTTGAGGATCACCCAAGTTACTAACCATGGTTGTCGATTGGTACGTTAGAAGAGAAGAACCCCAAGAAACCAAAATATCTCCTATAGGGTTACATGCAAATGCTTTGACCTCCACATCCATTCATGGAGTTCTTATCATGATGAAAATATTAGAGAAAAAACAAGCTACGTTGATGAATTTACAAAATAAACAAGCCAGGGTTAGTTTTTTTTTTACGTAAACATGATCTTCCCTTTGCCTTAGGGAAGATGGTGATTGTTTTAGATATATTATTACATTAAGAACAAAAGCATTTTAAAAAATATATGACCACATGGTCCTAGTTTTTAAACCCTAAAAACTAGATGTCAATGCACACACAAAAAACCTTGTTGCTAAAACTGCCTCATTTTCAAGAGGTGATTAGCCATTTAAAAAAATTGAAAATGAGTGGCTTGCTTTTTGTTGCTGAATTTACAAATTTTGCACACCATTTTTCTGTTTATTAGCCTTGCCTAGGCTAAAGGTTAGAAGAAAAAGTAATCTGTTTTAATTAGCCTTTCCATGGGCTAATGGTGCAAAAAGTTTTCTCAACTTTGCTGATCCAATTAGCAGAAGTTGGCATTTAGATAAAAAAAATGCTTTGCTTGTCTTCAACAAACCATTGTTGATAAAAAGATGCAATTGAAAAAAACATGCATGATTCTCCATTTTTTGGAGGTGATTAGAGTTAGATAGAAATAGACGGAGAAAAGGAAAACCATGGTTAGGCCCAAGGTTGAAACTTTAGAGCAGATTGGAATGAATCTTCTGGGATGAAGAGCCATTGTCACACCTGTTGCAGAGCAAATATACATGATAAAAACACAACCCTAATTCTTAAACTTTAAGATAGTATAGCAGATACTGTTTATTTCAGGAAGTGTGGGGTTTTAGTAGCACAATACGAACCTTATTGCAAGGGTGGAGTAGGTGCAAGAGCCACCGGTGCACCAAAATGCTGTGGATAGCTCCCGGTTGAGTAGTGAAACAGGTGATGTGGAAAATGGATATTGTATCCTTGGCCGGAAGGGCAAACAGTGCCGGCCATTCCTTCTCCGAAAAGATAAGGGTAGAAAGCTGCTCCGGTACCGCTCATCAAGCCACCACCATACACTGGATATTGGCCAGCGGCCCCTCCGTACACATTATAGTAGTTCTGAACCATGACAAATAGCACTATGATGCATATTTCTCTATACATGTGGTCTCTAGTGATGTAAACTAGGAATGTGTATAAACAAGTAAATCATGGTGTACAAACCGTGGGGTAATTGGAATAATCAGGCGAGCATGGAGAGTAGCTGTAAGAGTGTAAAAGGGAAAAACAGTTAGGAAAGTCATAGTTGAAGAAATAATAATAATGTGATTAAAAATAATAATAATTTGTCTGTATTTATTTTTAATTTTTCAACAATAAAAGAAAAGGCATACCCATAGACATTAAAAGGAAATCCTGGTTGGACGGCATAATAATGAGATGGGAAGGTTGCTGCCGAAGAAAACGTTGTTGCTGTCGGCAGACATTTCATTCCCCTCGAATTCCTTCCTCCTGCACCAATCTCTATTTTAGCATTTTTTTTAAGAATATTCTTTTGGTATATTACCTATGCAAAGTCCGTTATGTTGAAAGCATCTTATATACACGTAGTACTAACGAGTGTTAGATCAGTAAATATTGACAAAAGAATATTATTTTGGTATTTAATAATATTTTAGGTATTTTTTTGGCAAAATTGTCAAATAACTGTTATGTGATATGTAATGTCTACTATTGTAAAACTATAATCGCATTGGCAACAAACACCACAATCACATTTTCATACTATAATTTATCGCTTTTATGTATCTCTTACCGACTTTTTATTTTTATTTTTTGTTCTATTTACTGGAAACAGAATATTTTCTAGGGTACTGAAGATCAAGTTTTTACAGATAATACTAAATATAAACTCATATATTTATCATTAATCCTTACTCCAAACCCTAAATTCATTAATACTAAACCACAGACGAATCTCAAAGAAAAAAAGGTAGGGAAAGCAAGTACTCACCATGCTTTGGAGTAGAAGGTTTGGATCTTTGAACACCCAAGCAACCCAGATTGCAGTTAGCCCTTCTCCCATCGATCACCGGGGCAGCATCAACGCAAGCTCTCATGGCTGCTTCCGGTTCACGAAACGTCACCTATGTTAATAAATATGTAAAACCAAACAAAAATGGTCAAATTTCTATTTAACATAAAACCCATCACAAATCACTCACAAGATCTTCCATTTTACTCGAAGGATCTACTGATAAAAGAAATAACACTATGAAGAATTAAGAGATTAAGCGTACAAATCCATAGCCTTTAGATCTGCCAGTGGCTTTATCGGTGATGACGACGGCCTCCAAGATATCGCCGAATTGCTCAAAGTACTTCTTCATTGTATCTTTCTGGGTTTCCCAAGCCAGCCCTCCAACGAACACCTTAGTGAAAGTGGTATCACCGAATTGCCCAGTCATTTTTTGTTTGTCTCTGAAAATTATGAAACCAAGAGCAACTTATGATCTTTAGTTTCAGAACCCGAAAGAAGAAGAGAATATAGATCTAAGGGACGTGATGGATAATTTCTAGATTTGGAATGAATGGGAATGTGAGTTTGGTGGTGTGTCTTTTAAGGTGGAAAAAATGAAATGAAAGAGAAATGGAGGGAAGGAAGAGAAAGCAAAAGTTAAAGGCGAAAATAAAAAGAAGAAGAGGGAACACACACTCTATCTGTCTCATGATACGGACACGAATTATACAACACACCTGACTCCACTGCTTCTTTAGTCTATTTCCTCCTCTCACGCGCCTCTTTTTCACATTCCATGATGCAATTAAAAGAAATTTTGAATCAAGTATTTATTTTAATTGTTTAATTTGAGTTAATTAAGTAATGATACGAAACTAGACGAGTCTAATTTAAGTATTACTTAGCTCAATTTAATTTGAAAATTTGTGAGCTTATAATTATAAAGTTTAGCTTGAATTAAAAATAAAAAATTAAAATTTAATTCAATTCAAAAGCTCGTGAATTTAAAATTTTAAAATTTGAATCAAAATCAAAAATTGAAACTTGAATCGAACTAACAAAAAAAAATTCATTTCAAATGAGAGATTTAAATACTTGAAACCACAAAAATCTTCATTGACATAGCTAAGTGTCTTCGACGCGCCACTGCTGAAGATGGGGAAAAATAAATACTGAATTATTATGTCCGCCTAGCTGCACTTGTATTATTTTGAGGGAAGGAAAGAAATGACTAAATTAGGCTCATGCTTTAAACATAACCACGAGAATTACCATACATATTTGCAGGTATGAGCTGGAATGTCAGTAGTGGTAGAAACGGAACGGAGGGAATTTATGGGAACGGAGAGAAAACGGAGGTTACAAATCATAAGCACGCGGGAAGACAACGGTCAAACATCCAATTGCTTTTACAGGCCAAAAGTAAGCTACAAGAGCATTTACAATTTGAGACCAAGGAATGAAAATAATTATATTTTCATTCTGAACCCTAATATAATTTTATTTCATATAATTCCAAAATTATTGTATCAAGCATATTCTATAAATATAGTCGTTTTCAAAAAAAAATATATAGAGTTAAACAAATTAAATTTTATCACAATGTGGTTGAAAAGAATAATTATGTGAAGTGTACAAAGTTCATGTAATCTATAATTAAATTCCTTTTGACACGTTATCGGTCGTTTGATCGTTATTTTTGTTTATTTTTTTTAATGATAGATTTAACATCATCTCGGTTGATAAGATGACGTTTATTTGTTATCTTATTGGTTTTCTTACTTTGGACCATCATATTGGATTTCGATACGCGATTTGCTTTCGTAAATAGTTTTCTCACATTACTCGATTTTGATTTGCGATTTATCGGTGATCTTTAAATAGTTTAATCCCTTCTGTGATTTTTTTTTCATATATATCTTTTGTGGAAGTTTTTAGCTAGGTTTTTAACATTTTCCTTATATGATTATTGTATGATCTCAAGTGATCAGTATATTGTGTTAATTGTTATAAGAAAATGTCTTAATTATATGTTTAATTTATGACTACAATGATAAACCTTCATTATAATTTTAAATATTTATCTTTTTAATAAAATTAATGATTATATATATATAAGGTGATATCGATATGTATCTTCCATTACCAGCAAAACCAAATTTGTTTCTTCCCTTCCAAACCTGCTCCGAAAGAGAAGAAAAAAAGATATGCCGAGGAATATCATTATCAAATGAGATATTATTAGAAAAGTTCGTGAAAATTATATGTATTTTTATGCTCTCTCTATAAGGACCTTATATGCCTGCTTGCAGTTTTCTGTTTTGCTTCAAGCATTTGACATATATAATAATATACACAAAGCTGTTGGATCAAGCTATTTATTTTGCATTATTTGCTCAACCTTAAATAAAATATAAGCTTTTAACCACTGTTTTCTGCTTCGATTATAATACGTTAATTAGTCTCAAATGCTTAAATTACATCCTCAAGTTCCAAAGTTTATTTAATCATTTTAATAATTAAAAAAAATAGATCCGAAGTAGCCGGATGAATCTATTTATAGTTTTATTCCACATTATTTAAATATAAATATAAGAGAAAAGAGTTGCAAATCAAAATCTGCAGACAAATTGTTTGAATTGAATTGAAATAAGAATGTCAGGGAAAGTGAAGGGTTGGTTGAATCAAAAGATCGTGGATCCTATGGTCCAAATCCTCAAAAAGTAATTTCTTTTTTCTTCTTCCATTATTTATTTATTTATTAATTTATTATAGGTATAAGAAAAACAGGTTTATACATATGAAATGCAATTGCAGGGGAGCAGAACCCAAGCAATTGGCCTTCTCTATAGCTTTGGGATTTACTTTGGGGGTATTTCCAATATGTGGTAATATTTTTTCTTCTTCTTTTATTCCATATATATATATCTAAGTGAAGAAAATGAATGAAATGGCAATTGCAGGGGTAACGGTGTTGCTGTGTGGGATGGCGATAGCGGTGTTGGGATCATTGGCCAATGCTCCAGCAGTCATGCTTGCTAACTTCCTTGCTACTCCTATGGAATTGAGGTACTCTTTATTTTTTTAAAAAAAATATGCAATTTATTTAATTGATTAAATAAATAAATAATACGGAATTATGATGATATTTTTGTAATTATTGCGTAGCCTAATGGTGCCGTTCCTGAGGTTTGGTGAAGCACTGACGGGGGGAGAGCCTTTTGAATTAACATCAGATGCTTTAAACAAAGTAATTACAGGCCAAGCTTCCTCTGAACTCCTCTTTAGTATTGCTCGTGCTGTAAGTCTCTCTTCTCTCCTCTTTTTTTTTTACTTTATATATAAATGTTTTACTTTTTTTCTGAATAAATTTTCTTTTATATCGTAGTAATTATTTATCATATAACCAGAGGTTCAATCTCCTCAGAAGAACACCTGTGATAATAGATTGGTCAGTTGTTGTTGCCGACGATAAATACTTTAATTTGGGCCATATACAGTATACTAGAGTAGAAAAGAAAATGAAACTCTTATTACAAATCATGTTTTGTGTGCCTAATTAATTTATAGTAGTTTAATTAAGTCCACATTTGTATAATTTTAGTTTGTTTATTATGGCAATATGATTTGTTTAATGGTGATGAAAGATGGGCATTGTGTAATTTTATTAAACAAATGAATTGAAATGATTGGTGGGTGCAGTTATTAGGATGGTTTGTTGCTGCACCCATTATTTTGGGGACACTCTACCTTATGTTTTTGCCGATCTTCAAGTTCCTTGTCCCCAAGTTCAGCAGCGCTCCTGAGCAAAAAGACCACCATTCATGATTAGAAGCACCGGAGGGATGGATGTTTTGATATTTTGCAATTTAATTCTATGGTAAAGAATATGGACCGTCATTCACCATTACCATAATGTATACCTAATTATTGTAAGCTTAATTCATTCAAAGATAAAAGATTGTTTTGTCAGCTGCCTTTTTCAGATAAAAGATTGTTGGAAGCACAATGAAACTTAGGCACATTGTTTCTGTAAGGAGGACGCAACATTTTATATTAGGAGAATGAACTCCAAGCAAAAACTCAAAAATAAACCCCTATAGTATTAATGTATATTCCATTACTTTGAATAATTAATTTAATGTTATATTAATAAATTATAAAAATGATTAAATATTGTCAAACACGTAATTTTCATTATTCTGATAAAAAAAATTGCTTAAATACAACTAAGAGAGAATAAATAAATAAAAATTGAATGTGGATATAATAAAGAGCTTGATTTTGAATAAAAAGTTAAAAATGATGTATTATTTTATCATTAGATTGAGATTGAAAAGAACTTAAAGTTAAAGAATATTTGATAAATTGAAGAATGATATTTGAAAAAGGAAAAAATGATTTAATTCAAACTTGAATGGATTAATAAGAAATACTAGAGAATAAAGTCAAAAATTAAAAATTTTATGATATTGAGAAATATTAGAGACCCGATTATAAATATAAAAATTGGAGGCCCTGAGCAACTGCTCAAGGTGTTCCCTTACGAGGTGGCCCTGATAATAATTTGAAATAAAATATTCCTCCTAAGAGCCGGACCTGATAATAATTTGAAATAAAATATCCCCCTAAGAGCCGACTCTGATAATTTGAAATTTTTAGGGAGGCTACTGTCTCTATCAACCCTCCATCCCCTTTGGTCCATCTCTGGTTTATGTGTGTTCTCTTAAATCATTTGTTATAAAAGTAATGGACTAGTTGTTGCTCAACCTCTCTTTAAGGAACAATAATAATAAAATCGAAACTACACAAGTCGGTCCATGTTTGTTGTAACAAGATGCATATATATGTCAAATCTAGTTCATGTATAAACATAACAGATATCACTGCCCCATCACAAGTAAAATCAAATATTACACAGGTTCCAACAGAGGAAGACAAAATCTAGTCCAGCATGTCCTTGTTCGCATGCTATGTGGAAGCAGTGCCAAATACCTTTTATATAGCTTATACTTGCACTTCATCTATCCCACTCCAAATCAAGATGCTGCTTCGGGTTCACCTTCGGAGGACTCCCCTCGATGAATTTATGCGACTGATTCATCAACCAATCCCATCCGATGATGTGGGGCAACGCAAACTGTGCAACATTGCAAAACCAGCACAATCTCTATACAATGAATGTGTCAAGAAACAATATGACATGGCAAAACAAAAATAAATCAAGAAATTATGAATATCTATACTTGACCTGCAATAGAAATCAATCAACTGGTTCACTACAATCACTGGACTTAGTCACTTAACAGTAGGTTTTACATAAATCTCATTTTGCCCCTTGGAGGCATCCCAAGTTTCTGACCATATAATCCAAGGTTGGTGATCTAGGGACTGAGATCTCTCCAAGTTCAATCTAATCTCATCAAAATACCAACTTTTCACTATGTGCAATACCAATGATGATGAAAGACTCCTAAATTACCGGCTACAAAATCTGTTCTTTACAGTAATGGCACTGTTTCTTGCAAATAGTTTGGAAGTAATGTCCAGCTTTTAGAAGAAAATAAATAAATAAAAAGCCACAAAAAAGCTACAATGTTGCTTGAGAGAGAGCAACAATAGTGTTGAAAACAAAGAAACTAATTAGAGAGGGAGTACTTACTCAAAGAAACCATGTAGCTGTTACCACCATCAAGTGCTTTAATATATAACTTCTTGCTTACTTGACCAGCATTGCTGTAGCATAAATTATTTGTCAACTTAATAAGCTAACATATATATAGTACCGTAAATCTTCAAGTAAAACAAACTAAATAAGGTTTTCGAATGTAAGCTTTTCAAAAACAAAAACAAGAACCGGGAGAGCAAAGAACGCCATTGGTTCAACATCTTGGTGTTGGTGGATGGAGTGATGGTAATCTGCTCGGCCTCTTGCTCACAGTGAGTTTATACCCGCTATCAAAATTACTTTTAATTGCTCTTTTATTAGGTTAAAGTATTTTTTTTTCTAAGCTAAGGTGATCACAAAATAATATTTGTTCTAAATACTTTTAATCATTTGACAATGAACGTTCAATCACTTTTGTCGTCACTGGTGCTCGAACATATAACTTCTAAGAAAATATTTCTTTAACCACTAAGTTAAATTGGTTCGTGTCACATTTTAAAATAAGTTTTATGAACCAAAATATCATTTTTTTTAATTATTTATAAATATGCCACATTTTAAAGATTATATATTAAAATATTATTTATTTGAGTCACATGAGATAAGATATATTCTTTTAATCATGTTTGAAATATATTATTTTGATTTTAAATTTAGATTAGTGGTTTAATGCTGTATGAGGTTTTAGGGTTTGAGTTTTATTAAATTGTTTTTGACTGTTATGATTATTTTAAAGTTTGGGGGTGCTATGGGCTTATATAATATTATTACATCTATATTTATCAATATAATCATCAATTTAGCCATCAAGCATGTATATCAGTTAAGTCTCTTCAACATGCAATATATATACAATACCCAAAACATCCTATTTATGAGCGTCATAACACACAATAAAATTAATAGTACACTACCTTAGCTCAAAACATTAAATGAATGCTCCTAATTCAATTTCTCTAGCATTAGAAGTTTTTTTTTTCACTAATCAAATCACAAGTATGAGAGATTTTAATCATTTATAATAATGAGATAACATTAAGGACGAATTTAAAAACAAAAATATGTTCTAAACATTCTTAAATCGACCTTAAAGCCTAAGCCCTTTCTAGTTTGTGTACCCTCCCAAGCTCATTCTTAAAAAATGAGTGATATTGTTCTCATTTTGACGCCCATAGTTTTATAAAAATATTTTACACTTTCTTTAAGATGGAATTGCTCTAACAAGTGTCAAATGAATCCTTTAATTTCATGGGAAAAGAATAAGAAGACGAAAAAAAGATAAAGAGAAAAGGGTGGGTGAAAAGCTTTATTTTCCCTTCCCTCTAACCCACGGCTAACCTCACCAAATCAAGAAAGAAAATCAACTTGATTTTCTTAAATTGGCTATTTATCCAGTTGATCCCCAACCTTTAATCTCTTTTCAATTTCCCTTTTCTTTTCTAGGTCTAAATGGGCTAAATTTTCTCCCAAAGATTTCTATCTTGTTTCAAGAGTTCAATTACGTTTCTAAGTCGATTTAAAATTATTTCATGTCGACTCTCATACGTTAACTTGAAAATTCTAACCATTACAACGAATAATTCTTTATTTGATCAAGTTTATTTTTTGGGTCTAACCGTTTCCAATTTTAAATAAATTGAATGATATTTTATTTAAAACTGAATTGCATTTTTATATTCCATTATTAGTCTAACATATATCAAAGACGGACGAGAATTTGGCATAATCAATAATATGTTATGAAAATAAATGACAATTTCAATATTAAAATAATCAAATTGTATTAAAAAAGTGTTGAACTATACCAATTTTTAATTACATTAAAAGGGTTCAGAAAATTGAAGGAGGTGAGGAAAGGGAGTAATCTTTTGTCCCATGTTGAAGGTTTTATTCCAAAGTCAACTACCAACCAACTTAAGCTGTAATGCAATATGTATGAGATAAACACAAGCGAATGCACCCAAAAATAATGGACCACCGTTCCTCATTATCGTGCATGCCTTCGGGATGGACCTAGAGGAGGCGGTCGTTATTCTTAAAATTTTTAAATTTTTATATATTTTAGATATTTTTTGTATTATTAAAAATATATTTTTACGTTCCTAAAATTTTATATGTTCATCCTCTAACATGAAATGTTAGATTCGTCCCTGCATGCCTTGATTATTTATTCCCTTTACTCAAACTTCTATATTGCGTCAATGACCCTTTTATCTAGGACTTCCTTCCAATTATACCAGGATAGTTCTACTTTTCGGTAGCTTAATTTAAGGTAAAAAAAACAGTGATTTTAGGACGCTGAAAATATGATAAAATCATAATACTTTAGGTTGAGCGCAACCTAAAATGTTTTATTTTTACTAACATTTTTTTATTGAACTTAAAATGTTACGAATAATGTAATATTTTTTGTTGTCAAACGAAAATGTCAGTAAAAATATAACATTTTAAGTTATGCCTGACCCAAAATATTATGATTTTTATCACATTTTCAGTTGCGTCCAAAGTTTCCGCTTTCAACATTAGATTAGACTGTCGCTCCTTAAACTTCCCTATTATACCACGCTTTTTTTTTCTCTGCACGAATAAATATCTATAAATACGAGGTTTTGGATTTGTCCAACTTGTATGCTATAAAGACTCGAAATCCGGAGTGGTTCTTCTTTTGCCCGCTCGATCGGAAGTACCCAAACGGAAACATGCACAACTGATAATTCTAAAAATTCACGAGCAGGTTGATGTCATCTGAACTTAATGATACTTCATATGGAGCAGGTAATGGCGATATCGAGCAGGTTGCTGTCATCTGAACTTTTATGGAGAGTAAAAACGATGACACCTTTTCCAGTCCGATCAAAAATTCAGATGGCTGTCGTCGCTCTAAACAAGTTCAACTTGAAGCGGAAAGATAGAGATGCTTTTCATTGTCGATTAATGATGAGTGAATTTATTAAAAGTTAAAATATATACTAAGGGGATTAATAATGAACTAAACTTTTGCCATTATTATTCCAAAACTTGATAGGACTGTGTTCCTTGGATACATTCTACTACAATTACCAGGCAAAGGCAAAACATAGATCAGAACGAGGAAACAAACATCCATCACTATAATAAAGTAAAAACACACAAGCAAAGTTTAAAACTTAATTTAACTCCATTTATTACATATGGAGAACCATATGTTCGTCCTAGTTGATCTTTCTGCAATCAAGCCTGATCTGTCCATTGCTACCTGTCAACGGGCTTATGTTCCCCATCTTTATCATGGCCTTAGCAAAGCTATCGAAGAACTGTTTTTGACTGCTTGCGAATCTGTTGACAATGGTCACAGTCTCAGCCCCGTTAGTTGAGAACAGCTCTTGATCGGATTGAAGGAGTCCCCGACGGTTTTGGAGGTTCAAAAAGTACTTGTTGTCAAAGGTAAGGGAAGTTTGTTCGTCAAGATCGATCAAACTGGTGACATCTCCGCCTTTAGGACATCGTTGCTGAAGTGCCTTTGCGTATGTAACGTTGAGGGTCGGGTCGATTTTCCCGGATACGTTATTGAAATTGTAGAGGCGGTCCATGAAAGCAGCACATCGAGCCCTTCCAAATGTGTGGACACCTGTGAAAGATTGGATTCTCATGTGATTTCATTGGTGGAAGCATACTAGCTAAGTAGGTGTTTGAAAATAAGACTTATTGGTTAATTACCGGACAAAGCGACAAGATCAGTAGAATCAAGTCCCACGCTCTTGAATCTGGCTGCAATGTTGACAAGACTATCGTGTGCAGATGGGATGCCTCCGATTCCTTCGAGGTGTGCCGACGGACTATCCCGTCTTCCGAGTGGGACTTTCCATGATGGACCTCCACCCTGCAACCAAAACATATATACTCTTTAACATTGTTATAGTTCTAACATGGAATACAAACGATTTGAATTGATAATAATAGAAATATATATACCAAGGAAACAGAAATTTGAGCAGCAAGGGCCAAAATATCGGCACACGAGACAACACGAGGGCAAGCTTTCTCTAACGCTGTTTTGATATCGTCGACAACAGCGTATCCATCGGTGGAAAGGTTTGGGGTGGCAGTTTTTTCACTGTTTGTACCATTCAGCAATAGTGAGGCATCGCAACCCTGCATGCATACGTACACTTATTTTAAAGACTATATATGTATATCAATGAGTTATATATAATGGGACAAAAGTTGTTGGTACGTTAACGAAACAATCATGAAAGTGAAGGCGAACGATCTTGGGGAATATCCAAATGTCATTTTGTTGGGCTTGCTGCAGCACAGTGCGAACAATAGTGGACACATTTGGGCAGGTTTTGGCATAGAAAGTGGCACTAAGTTGAGCATTGGATCCCCCAAGCATCATTGCAGATAGCAGAAAAATAGTGGTAATCATTTGAATCCAACACATTTTCCCTCCCTCAAATATCTTAGATGGATTGTTTTGGAAAGAAAATTGAGAGATACAGAACATGCCCTAGAGAAGATCCTTTATATAGAGGGATCGCCATAGCTGAGGTTGCAAGTTGCACATTTCACATTGCATGGGATTGACTTGCAGTGTGAACACCACTTTATCAATAATGCTAACGCGTTATTCTGATCTAGTGTTTTATATGTTTGACTTGGAATTCTAAGATCCGTAGTTCAAGCATATCCTTTTATTTGCTAAACATTTTGTTTAAGAATCACGAGCTGAACAGTGGATACAAATCTTCCAAGATACTTTGTATACTTTCTAATTGTGTTTATTAATCAGCCAACTGCAGTTTGAGTATTGAAGTCATTACTATTGAGAAAATTTTATTTTATTTTATTTATTTTTATTAAGCTAAATGTGATTACAAAGTAGTATATGTTCTAATTATTCTCAACTATTTGACAATGAACACTCAATCACCCTTAAAACCGTTAGTGTTTGAACTCGTGACCTCTAAATACAATAATAATTCTTTTAACTTTTAGAAAAATTTATTTTAAAATCACTTTTAGACGGTAAAATGGATAGTATAATTAAAAATATTAATGAAGCGCACGTTGTTTTATGTAGCCATGCAGCTGGTTTCAGAATTCATGAACGGTAGGAAATATAATTTCTGGAAAATGTGATGTGATTGGGCATTAATAATATTGTGCTGCACTAAGCCTAAAGCCATATATGAGTTTATCTATAGCAGTGCTCACAAATCACATCGTCTGCATAATTTGTTGATTATTTAGCCCATTCAAGCAAATTATGTGCAGTGTTTATTGACCATATTTTGTTTCTCATCATTACCTTTTTCTCTTTTATATTCTCTACAAATTAAGGGTTTATTTATTTTTATAATATCAACATATAAATTTATAACATTGATAATGTATCTGACACAGACACCTTATTAAAAACCTTAATACAAATAAAAATAATTAAAAAAATTAATGATCGTAAATAAAACGATAAAGTTTCGGGCCTTTTATAATAAAAATTAAAAAAATAGCATTCATCCATAATTATAATGGAATGTTGGTGAAAGTGGAAGACATTGACACGGACATTAAGGGTTGAGATTTGAGAAGCCACTGCAAAAATTGACCAATAATTTGGCTTCTTATTTCCTGTTGGCGTGGAATTTGCAGTCTTAGAATCACTACCTTTTGTTTTGTTTTGTTTTCTTGCATTCACGATACTCATGGATGTGAAGGCTGCATATTCCTTTTAGGTCAAACGAAAGAAAAGATAATCATTAATTACTTTGTTCTAGGCGTTTAGTGACTAAATTATTTCTTCTTCCCATTTTGATAATTATTTTTTAAAAATTATATCTAACTTTTAGTTTATGTTTTATTTTAGTATCCGATGTTAAAATTTAACAGAATTGTTGTTCATGATATTTTATAAGTAAATTATATCATTCTTCACTCAAGTATCTTCCCACTTCCATTTTGGTCAATAATTTTTTTTAACTTAATCACTTAACTTTTAAATTACTCATATTTTAATCACTCTACTTATTTTTATTAATGATATTGATAACTTACAAACATGGTTGTATTTAGGCCTAGCCTACCTATGCCATGACCCACCCCAATCAAAAAGGGTAAATTACTTATTTAGTCACATAATTATTATTTAGTTTTTTTTTGGTTGTCTAACTATTTTAAATTTTAAATCACACTCAATGTTACGTTTTGGTCACTTATCTTTAAAAAAAATAACGATGATGTTGACATATCTTCATAAGATAATGTCACGTTAGGATTGAAAAATAGTTTAAAAAATGTCATGTTAACATCATTTTTAATTTTTTAACAATACATGATCAAAATAGAACCAAAATGTAAGGTTATATATGATTTTCAAAAATAATAGTTGAGTGATCAAAATATAAATTAAGTAATAAGTGGGTGACCAAATAGTTAGTTTATCCTAGATAAAAGATATGAATGAATTATGTTAAGAAAATTATATTGGTCCAATTAATATATTTTTTCTAGATTTAATTAATGTATATATAATTGCTATTATATTTTGAAATTAAAAGTATATATGAATTAATTTAGATAAATTTTTTATTATGTTTATATTGCTTCAATCTATAAAAAAAATTCTAGATTCCTCAATAAAAGATGGCATAACCAAACCATCGGGGCTTTGTGACCACAACCTATCGATGATCACAGTCCGGCCGCCCATCGCTTTCGACAATTATAGACTTTAAACCAAACTGCAAAGCGAGCTACAGCCCTTTCCAGCAAGCCAGTGAAAACACCAGTTACGGTAAAATAGGAGCACTGGACAGCACCCAATTCGACCCGACCAATGACGACCACTCCCGCATAGCCACCTGCACCTGAAAAGCAGCGCCAAAAGTTATATGAATAATATGACCCATATGATTTTTTCCTTTATTGGGACTCAAATGCTACATAAAATAATATAACTAAATAATAAAATGAAAAATAATTAAATTAAATAATATAAATTAAGTTTATATCTGATTTATAATATATGACTAATAATAGAAATTAATTTAATAATTTTAAACTTAAATTTGGACTGTAGTTTCAAACTTTTAAGAGCATAAAAATTAAATATGTCAAATACATGGATTAAATCTCTCATCTTCGTACTATACAAATATTAATAACAGAATTTAACATTTTAAATTTAGGATAAATTATATCATTAATTCTTAAATTATTATTATTTTTATTTTAGTCATTAAATATTTTTTTAATAAAATTATCATTATTATTATATGTATTTTTATTTTAATCATTCATCGTTAAAAAAATAATGATATATTAATAAGAAAAATTATATTTTCAGTTGTTTATGTTATTTAACAACTAACTATCAAAATAAAAAATAATTTAGTAAAACAATATAATTTGGTTTACTGAGGAAATTTTTTATATTTCAAATTGTTATGTCATTTTAATAGAATTTTTTATATTTTTAATGTATTTATTGAAACAGTTTGGGCGCAAATTTTCGGATTTGAACTGACGAAGCTAAAGTATAAAGATTTCTGGCATTGTGAAGAGGTCTTGGCGTCGACTCAGAAGGCACTCTGCAGAAGCTGTTAGTTTTATTTCCCCCCAAATATACTCAGAAGGCACTCAAAGCCGCAACCGAAAATGGAAGAGTATTTGCAGTACATGAAAACTCTCCGCTCTCAGATCAACGGTTCTTTTTCTTTGATAGTTGGCTATCCAGTTTGCTTCTTAATTTCTACGAAATAATGCTAATCTTTGGAAATGAAATGGCAGATGTGGAGGATCAAGCCGCCAACATTTCAGCTGAAGAGCAGATCCAGTTTACTACCATTCAAACCTTGCAAAACGATATCCTTTCTGGTAATTTCATTTTTGTATTTTCTGATAATCGAATCGCCGGAATATAGAATACCTTGAACCCGCTTTCGTTCCATTTCATATATATAGATGAAATTAGTTTTATACACAGTTTGTAATTTTTTAGACATTTGTATTTATTTGATTTGATCTTCGTAATCATACGCATTGAATTGATTTTTAAGTAAGTTAAAATATTTAATTATTTTTAATAATAAAAAAATAAGAGTTAGCTATATATTGACAACCGCCTTATTCTGTTCATTGTGGATTATATTGCTAGATCTAATTACTTGATTAAAATATTAATCCTAATTTCATTTTATACTGCTACGAATATATTATCATATGCATAAAAGAAAGATAAGAAAATACAAGTGAAATGATAGATAACATGCTTTTGAATATATTTTGTCTACTTTTGAATTCAAATAGTCCAATGTTCAGTTTTGAATTTGTTGTTACATTGATTTTAATCTCAAATTTTGATATATTTTCTCATCTGTCTCTAATTTGCAGCAAAATCCACAAAAAAACAACTTACGGAAGACATTGAGAAGATGTTGACAGCAAAGGGTCAACTGTGTTCGCTGATAATTGAGAAACAGAGAAAAATAGCCTCTTTAGATTCTGATTCATCCACACTTACCCAGGTTATTTCCCAATCTCTCTTTCATTATATGAGTGATGTCTCATGTGGTCATCAATTTTGAACTTTGCTATGAACAAGAAAGCAAAATTCATAGCTAGAATAGAAGCTACAGACAATAAACCAAAATATTCAGTCTATATGGGATGGTAATGGATAATGTGGGTTTGAATATTAATAGATCTCCGACCTGTATTTAATGTGGATGATAAGCGATTTGGATTCTATAACAATGGAGCATATTCAAATTTAGATATTAATAGAGAAATAGATATCCGTCTTGATGTTCTAGCTACCTCCATAACAAACTCATTGCTCTACTTTGTTATGGATTATGTTCTGATTGACAATCTGTATATCTGTTTTTACTTTTAAATAAAGAAGGAAACAATCTTTTAAGTGATTAATTCGAGAGCACCCATGTTGTAAGATGCTGGCCCAATGAGAGCAGGCTCAAACTTCGAACCGCCAATACAACTCTGATCTTACCAGAACAATATGCATGTCGAACTTTAACTTTGTACCCAAATCTGTATGTTGGCTACATATTTGAGATGTTAACATTTGTTTTTGCTACTGTGATTAGGTATCCTATTGCCATTATGTTTTTGGTCAGCATTTTGCTTATCGTTTTTGTCTCTGACTTACATACAGACACTGGAGCTTATTCAACAGGAAAAAATTAGCTTATCTTCCAAACTAATAGAAAAGAGGTAATACAAAGTGACCTTATGGCAATTTAATAAACACCGTGTTTTATAATGACTATGAAAATTAAAAAATGTCTTAAAACTCTTACTATGATGCATAGCTTGTTGATCAGCATGCTATCTTTTATGTTTAAATTGTGGGTTGTTTGTCCTTTATTCTGGAAAAAAGGTCACATGTATCAACATGTTGATCAACATATGAGGGCATCACAATGATGGAACTCACAGTACTTAGTTTTGTTTGTGCTATGGATTGGACAAAGCTGTTTGACTGATATTAATGTCAATGGACCATGTATTTTTTTAATGGATAGCTGCAGTTCTTGATTTAGGATGTTATAGTCTTCTGATGTCATATGGAAGGGTAGTCTCTATATCATATGTGCCTTCGGATATAGGTTTTAGGCTGAATCATATTGATTGCATATATTCACATTCTTTTATGTGCTTGATTTGTTTATTCTTCATACTTTGAGTGATTGGACTTGACTGGTTCATTGCACAACTTTGATGAATCCCAATCTTCTTTATTATGATAACAGTGCTTACTACTCCAAGGTGGTCGCGGATTTTTCCTCCAAATTGCAGCAACAACAGGTTTGAGTTCCATACTCCACTTCTAGGTTTCTGAGTTTCGCGCTCAGCTTTTCAACACGCAGTTGATGATATCCTCTTCATTTGCGCGTAGGAGTGGGTCAAATCTCAGAAAGGAAGACAAATGGAAGAGCATGATTTGGTACTCTCTAATCTTCTATGCTTTCCTTTGTTTAGTAATAAGAATCAATTAAGAAAGGAAGCAGAAAAGGGACAGGCAGTATAGGAAAAAGACATAATTCTTGAATAACAGAGCTGGTCTACTCTGCTCTTTTTAATCGTGTACAAACTTTTTGAGCTTTTGACTAATATTGTTGAGTCCAACACGTCTGAATAAGTAAGATAACATGATATCATTTGCTGTAAATCTTGACAACATAGATTGGTTTTCTCAGGTTTTGTATAGTTTGTATCACTTCTGGTCTTGGGCACTCCCTAAGCATGTATATTATATACAATGTTTGAATGCACATATTTAATATGAAAAAACATGTAAAAGTTCAGTTCGTTTGTGCTAGGTGACCCACATGAAATTAGTTTAATTTTTTTAGCCGTTTTGGTTAATAAATTCCTATTTTTGCTTTTGAGAATGGAAAAGAGAGCCTTATGCATGTGCAATATTCAAGAATTACCCTAATTATAAATCAACCTTTATTGATACCCTAAGCTGCTCATTTATCATTTTGTCTTTTTGCCTGATTTTTCCATCTGAAAGGAACATCTTAAAGATCTGCTCCAGACAGGTTGCTAAGGCTTTATCTTTCTAATTATAAATGAACCTTTATTGATCCCCTAAGCTGCTCATTTATCATTTTGTCTTTTTGCCTGATTTTTCCATCTGAAAGGAACATCTTAAAGATCTGCTCCAGACAGGTTGCTAAGGCTTTATCTTTCTAATTCTTGACATATTTATGCTTACCCGAGTTTTGAGTCACTTTTAATTTTTTTAAATCAATTTTTATCATTATTAAATTCTAATAATTAGCATCTTCAGGTCAACAACAAACTTGATGAGAAAATGACTGAATCTGAAGGTTTGGCTTCAAAACTTGTATCCATATATTTTTTGAGAATATCTTTTTGTCTTTTCCACTCTTATGTAGGTTATGCTTTCAAGTTTTCTTTTAAAAATACTTTTTTGTTTTTCTTATTTGCACCTTTCTCTTTGATCTCCTATTATGAGTGGTTTCTTTCCTGCTATCTTTGATGGCTTGCACCCTTCTAGAATTCAATTGGTGGCATATTATCCACAATGCATAGTTTGTTCTATATATCATTAGACTCAATCTAGGCAACTAGGTGCCACATGGTTGGCAGAAGATCTTGCTCTGATTAGCATAGTCACACCAGAAAGAGCTGTTGTCAAATGACGATATTCAGGAAGTACCGTTTAGATTTCTCATTACTTTTGGATGCTCTAGAACATTACCTTATTTTTTAAGGATTTCTTTTCTTTATCAAGACCACATGGCTTCAGGACAGTTCATTATTCCTCTATGATGAATTTATACGAGATTTATAGAAAGGACGAAAGCGGTAATCAAAACTTAAAGAGTTTGTCAATGATACAAAATTTCACTTCAATTTCGCATTATATAAAACCTATATGAAAATTCATGAATGTCTGACTTAATAATGTCTTAAATAGGATGCTAAGTATTTACTTTAACCAAACTGCTATATTCTACAAGAAATTTTGGTGATTTGTAAAATTGATCTTTATACCGTGTCAAATGTCAATTATTTCATACCGTTTTGGGTTTACCTTGCAGATAATCTTAATGTTGGATACTGTATGCTCACCAACAATAAGGTAAATACCTTTACACCAACAACTGAGATTTAACGGGTTGGTTTGTTCTAACTATTCCTCTGAATCAGGACAATGAAGCAGGGAATGACCTGATTGTCAAGTTGGACTTAGCAAAAGCCAAGCTAGATGGGATTGTACAAATGAAAGCAAAACTTGTGAGAGATAATTGCAAGGTTAGTAAAGAAACTTAACGGCTGTTCCACTGGATGGTCTTAATCTTCATCAATTGATTCTTTTGTTTCCTAATATTAAGGGGGGGGGGGAAGGAAAAAATATCTTTTATGGCTGGATTTCAATTTATTTGCATTTTTATTTAATTAGGATTCAAATCAGAATCACCTTCTCACTTCTCTTTTTCCTTTTCCCATTGATTATGTACATGCTAATTCCATGGAGCCTTGGATACGATTACATCACTTGAATACATGATGGAAAAAATATGATGTGACATGAAAAATTAACGTAACATGAAAAAAATGCAGGAATGTGTCAAAAATCTAGATAACATAAATATTAGCACGAAATTTATATAAATATATAACACCTTAACCATGATTGGGAGAGGAAAATACAAGAACACTGCAGGAATACAGGAATCAGTTCCTTTTTACTAAACTGAATGAGTTATATTTAAGATATTTCATCACGGAGGAAAGCAGTTTTTTTCATCTGTCTAAAATACATCGTAGTTTGCTTTATGTAATTACAAAGGAAGTTTAGTTTTAGCCTTAGGTGCGTTGTTTACAATTCTGAATTTCTGATTGTTCTATTTTATGTAGTTTTCCTACTGTTTGGCCTGTTTAGCATCATGTTAGCCTCTTCCTCACCCTGTTGAAAGGAGGTTTAAATAAAAAGAAAAATGCAAATAGAAAGAAATACCAAAGAAGGTAACACTTTTAAGGTTTTCCGTTTTCAGATTAAGGAGTCTATTGAGCAAACAAAGCGTGGAGCAAACCATTTTAAGGTGAATTGCTTACTGAAATTCGTGCATGCAACTGTATGCTTGTTTACAAGCATGAAAGTTATACTGGAAAATGGTTGATTGAGTAGCATGGATTCACCCTCTGAAACAAGTTTGATATCAACCACTTGATGGTAACCATTTTCAGACTTTCACTTATATGATACAAAATAAATATGATATGAAATGGGTGCATGCTTGATGCTTTTATGTATAGTATTTATTTTATGTAGTTGATACTTTTCTGTATTCAAATATTTTAAAGGGTGAATGAAAGTCCATATTTAAACCGTTTGAGTAAAATATTATCTTAGACATCTGGGACAGTTTTCTTTGTATCCTTATAAAGTTTGTTTGTAACTATAGCCGGAGCTGTGGGAAATAAGTATACTGACACTTGAAGAAGAATACAAAGCGCTTCTATCAGATAAAGACGGAGAAACCGAGTATCTTTCCTCACTGCGAAACCAGGTTGAACAAATAAAGGTAGCTATATGTTTCAAATTGGCATAATGAAAAAAAATGCTAACGTTTGATTAAATATTCACTTTGGCCCCTATTTTTTAGAGCATTTTTTCCCAATATTTCATTTTAGGGTAAAAGGCCCTTAGCGTTTGACAAAATAGTCACTTTAGCCCTTACTTTTTTTCTTGGAGCATTTTGGCCCTAAACATTTTATTTTAAGGGAAAATGTTCTTATTTTGGAGCGTCAATGGTTTATTGACTAACAGTTTTTATTCACAATGGAGTCTCTCTGTTCAAAAATGAAACATTGGAGGCCAAAATGTTCAACAAAAGGAATAGGAGATAAATTAACTATTTATTCAAACATTAATTGCATTTTTTTGGCATTATGTCTTTCAAATCATGCTTTCGGTTTCACGAAGTGGCCTTAAGAAAATTGATGATTCCAACTCGGCCTTTTTAAGTCAAAATATATCCATCTTAAAAGTCTCAAAGACCATTTTTTTTCCTTCCTTGGCCTTGCAAGATAATGAATAGGTGCGCGTCCACGTTTTACAGGGAATTTCTCTTCCGATTAAATGTGCCTGTGGAGAAGAATACATGCTGGATCTTTGTGCCTGATCGGATAACTCAAAAATGAAAAAGAGCTAGTATCTGCTACAGGTAATGCTTAACTCAAAACTGATCGGATAATATGGTAAAATGTGAATAGATGCTACGGTGTAAATTTTTTGTAGCTATCTGAGAATTGTGTTGGACAACAGGCTTGAGCCAAGGGAACATGTACGGTAAATGCTGTAAATATTACTGGAGAAAGAAAATCAATACATATCATTGCTTTCATCTTTTATTTCTAGGAAATCTTGTTCTCTCTTGCTGTGCTCTATTACCAGTTACCCGCCTCAGTCGTTAGAGTCCTTGCATTTATATTGAAGTTTGGAGCTTTAAGTAAAATACATATTTTATTAAATATGGGACATTACTTTTAATTGAAAAAAAAAAACAAAATCATTATAAAATAAAATCTAAACTAGATGTTAAATATGATTTTGTAAATAAATAAAATTTAAATATCAAATTAAAATAAAAGTAATAATTTAGAAATTTAAATATATAATTTATCATTACATTTTATCATCTAATTGACATTTTCTTAGAAAAAAAGCTCATAACTCCTTAATTGATTTCCTAACGAAATTTTTTAATTCCTCCATTACCAAAGCTGTGTCTTCTAATTCTGGGAGACCATAGAAAGAGTGAAAAGCATTGGGATACTCAATCAAATACGCTTCTTTCCCACACTTCTTCAATCCCTCGTAGTACCTTATTTGCCAATCATGCAACGGATCAACCCCTCCGACCACCACCATCGTTGCCGGAAACTCCAACCTCGATATATTATCACCCGATTTCGGCCCGAACACATTGCAAGCCGGATGGTCCAGGTCCGACTCTTCCGGCAAAAACATCTTCCACAACCGGTCCGAACCTTTCACCGTTAGCACCGGCCCGTCGGCAAATCTGGTCTAGGAATCCGTTCTTTCTTCCCCACCAAAGAACGGTTGTATTGTCATTAGCCCTTTCAACTCCACGTTTCTTAACTCGTACTCGCACGCTTTCACCGCCACGTGGTGTGCCAAGTTGCCGACTGCACTGTCCCCGGCGATGAAACACTGCTTTAAGTTTGCGTACGAGGGAAGATTTAGATTCCCCAAGTCGGTATTCGCATTGTCGTCGATGAACTTCACGATGTCGAATCCATCGTCGTATTGACATGGATATTTATGCTCCGGGGTTAACCGGTAGTTGACGGAAATAATGACTGCCCCGGTTTTCTTACAAAGTCTTCGACATAGGTCGTCGCAGGCTATGGAATTCACTTGCATATACGCGAAGCCTCCACCGTGGAAGTAGATGATGACCGGCATGTTGGCGTCTCGATCCACAGAAGGAACAAAGAGGCGGAAGTAGAGGTTTCGAGCGGCGTCGACGACGGTGTCGGTCGTTTTGACGCCGTCGCGGGGCTTTTTGGAGAGAGGAGCTTTGAGGTCGAATAGGTTCAGGATGCAGCGCGGTTGATGGTGCCATCGGAGCGGCGAGAGAAGCTGACGCCGAAGCCGAGCATGGACCGATAGAACCGCTGTGTCCAAGGCACGGCTTGGATTGTGGAACTTGCATTCTTCGACATGTATTTGCAGTCTGGAAATTATTAGTAAATATTAAGCTGGGTTCAATTCACTATAGTTAGTAATGTTGGTTGAGCATTATATATATACTTGTTTTTACAAACATAATGGGTTACGTACGGCTGCGGAGACATAAAAATGCAACTAATTTATGGGTTAGTATTTTGCTATATTATTTTTCCCGGGAAAGTATACAAATGTCCATCGGGTATTATTTTGTTGAGTATATCAAGTATTAAAAATTATAAAATGGTCATCCAACTATATATCATGGTATTTTGTTAAGTTTTTAGTATTAAAAGTTACAAAATGATTATTCAATTATTCATATATTTCAAACTCACCCTTTTTGTTAAAAGATTAATGTTCATCTAAGCTGAAAGTTAACATGTTGACTAGGATGTGATAAAATCATATTTTAATGATGTCTAGTGACACCATTGTTGCTTTTAAGTATTGGCTCAGCGGCATAATGTAAATTAAGAATCGATCCACAAAATATAACTCAAACGATTTTGAGATCATATTTTATCATATACCAGTTAACAAGTTTAGGTCTAGCTCATACGACCATTAACTTTTTAACAAAAAAACGATGAATTCGAAACATATAAATACTTAGTTGACCATTTTGTATCTTTTAATAGTCAATGAACTCAACAAACAATGTCTGCAGTTGGGAACTATTTTGTAAATTTTAATAGCATGAGACTCAACAAAGTAGTGTCTTATAATCGAGGAACCATTTATGTACTTTACCCTTATTTTTGTGTATAAATTTATGAGTAAACACCATGTTTAATCATTTAAATATTCACACCGTTCCGTTTTGGTTATCAAACTATTTTTTTATAAAATCATACTTAAAATTATGTTTTGGTCACCCACAATTAAAAAATTAACAGTGATGTTGATGTGTCGCCATAAGTTAATATCACATTATCATTGAAAAAATAATATTATGTCAACAGTTCTGTTTAATTTTTAATGTGTGACCAAAACAAAACTAAAATTTAACTTTAAGTAAGATTTTGAAAAGAAATAATCGGGTGACAAAATACGAAATTTACCTCAAATTTATTTATATATTTTTTGTAAATCAAATTTTAAATGAAAACTATCTTTAAATTAATAAATTATTATTTGATATATTAGTAATATAGTTTTTAATTTAAAACTCGAGAATTATTTTAAAAAATAATAATAACTGCTTAATCAAATAAAATAAAACTGCCGGCCTGCCGCCTGATATTCTCATTGATTTGATGCTTAAATAGTTGTGGAAATTTATTTAATTAATTAAAATCGATTACTTTTTTGGTCAATAAATCAAATCGGTTATTTAATTTTCAACTTTACGAATGCAAACAAAAGTTTCGGTGAGTCAACGTAAATTATATGTAGTTTTTGTTTCTATTGTCGAGCGATTGATTAAAAATTTATATTCGTTATTAATTTAGCACCACCCGACAAATATCTACTCCAATATACTAATACAGGTTGACGAATAACATATATGCACAGTCTATGATGATTTAGACGATAGAAAATAAGAGGTTTTATTGATAATTTATGATTTAACCGGAGAAACTTTTATTGAGATGAATTATTTTAATTTATACGATAGTTTTCACTTCAAAATTTTATTTATGTTCACCTCACAAAAAAATTTCTTTTTAATATATATGTATCTTGTGTTCATCTTAAAAAATATTTATAGATCTACCAAGCCACTAGAAGAAATACAACAATTGTCCCTCTAGTATATGTCACGTTATATAGTAACGTGATTGATGACCGCGTATATTAGGCCCCAAGGGTTAGTTGTACTAGTTTTCGAGTAGGGCATTATGGAAAAGGTGTTTAACGAAAAAAAAATTGATTTGGTCCTATATTTTCAAATGTTGTAGTCTCCTCCTTCGATTTCGATTGCCCAGCTTTGACCCCCTTATAAGGTAAGCTTTCACTGATTTCATTTTCTATCCGACTTTTATACGATGACTAAGGGTAGTGGTAGTGACAGTGTTGCGGTGAAGAAAACAAAACTAGATAAGATAAGCACTGTGCTAGTAAAATTGGGGGTCCAACACAAACGAATGGATAGTAACTAACCTAGAAAAACCAAATTACTTCGACAAGAACTGGGATCTGCTATTTGCTTCGTTACTTTGGATCATTTGGAAGCAAAGGAACCAATCCTCAAGCAGGGAAGAAGAATGAAACAGGAAGGCATTAGAGCCAAAATAAGGAACACTGGGATCACACAAAGGATAAAACGATGGGAAGCTCCACCAGAGGATTGCGTTAAAGTTAATACGGACGGGGCGAAAGACCTCCTTAGGGATAGCAATGGCGACTGGATAATTTGTTTCTCGAAAGTCATCAGAATATGCTCAGTAGTAGAAGCCAAGTTATGGGGGTTGTTCAAAGGACTTCTGCATGCCAGAAGAATAGGAGCAAGGAAGGTAGCAGTCGAGCTTGATAGTAACGAGGCATTCAAGATGTTATCCCCGAGGCAACAAGGATTAGCATCACCGGCGATAATGCAACACATATGGGAACTAATGGGGGAGAATTGGTCGGTAACATTCTCGTTCGTTCGTCGGGAAGTGAACAAGTTAGCAGACAACATGGCAAAGCTAGCACAAAGAGATGACTTCACTGGTAGAATCTTCCAAACACCCCCAAAGGTGGTACGCTCGATACTCCAAGAAGACAGACATGGACTGATGGCCCGTGGTCATATGTAGACCAGTTTGTTTTTCACCAAATCACGATGATAATAGAAGTTAAGGGTGAGGGTAAACTTTCAAGAGGGTCTTGAGTAAACATTGCGCTAGTAAAATTAGGGGATTAGATCACGACGACAATAGAAGCTGAATATTTATCTTTATTTACTATGGCAGCTGGATTTCACTTACCACTAGATGTGCACATTTGTCGGATTTCAATCCGATCCGGTTTTTTCCCATAGAAAAAAAAACCGGTTTATAAAATAACCGGTTCGGTTTCTAACCGGTTTGGAGGGCCGGATATCCTAACCGGTGTAACCGGTTTCGGTTTTAAAAAAACCGGTTTTTTTAAAAAACCGATTATAAAAAAACCGATTTTAATATTCCAGATTGCTCATAGGGAACCGATTCCCCCCCAAGGGGGTACCGATTCCTCACTGAATGGTTTGGCTCCGAGATTTCCAGAATGCTCGGAGGGAACCGATTCCCCCATAGGGGGTACCGATTCCCCCCTATTCAACGGTCGAAATATTTGAATTTTACACTTAGGGAACCGATTCCCTATGAGAGGAAACCGATTCCCTATGAGAGGGTACCGATTCCCCCAAGCTCCTAGCATTTTTATTAAATGTTTTCACACTTAAACGGCTATATTATCTTCATTAATTATCACTAACGTTCAGAAGTGATTCAAGGTGTATTTAAGCAAGCTTAGAAGCCATTGATCAAAGACAAGAAACATCAAGCAACTAGAATCAAGAGAGAATCAAAGAGAAAGCATCAAACCTCAAGTTCGATAAATTCAAATACTTAATTGAAATACTTAATTAACTCAACATAATTGAAATACTTAAATACTTCCAAGTTTGATAAATTCAAATACTTAAAAACTTCCAAGTTCGATAAATTCAAATACTTAAAAACTTCAAGTTCGATAATTGAAACAAAGTTTACGATAATTGAAATAAAGTTATAAAATAAACTACATTGACATCTCTTCTTCATCATCTTCGCCTTCTTCGTTTGGAGGGGATATTCCAAGTTCGACTTCTTCAATGTGTAAGTTTGCTTCCAAATCGGCATCAATTGCATCTTCTAGGGTGGTGATATGTTGCTTACGAGCCGCTCCATCTAAATAATCCTTTAAACAAATGCATACTTCCACCGACTCGGGACTTAGTCTTGATCTCCGTTGCGATATAACCCTGCCACTAACAGAAAAAGCGGATTCCGAAGCTACCGTATAAGCTTGGACGGTTAGTAAATCACGGGCCATGGCGGCTAGAATCGGAAATTGTGCTTCCTTTTCTTTCCACCAAGCCAAAATATCCAAACTTTCAAACTCTTCAAATGTCATTTTTAATAGAAAATCGCATGACATGTAATTTTCCAACTCGCTACTTGGGGTGGTAGTACGTGATCGCTTGGATTGGGAATTTACAAGAGTGTTAAAAAGATTCAAATTTATGTTACTTGGACGTCTACTAGATGATTCCGCATTCATTCTCATTTGATCGTGTATTACACTACTTGATCCGTATTTAGTTAAATAAATTGCAAACATGTCTCGAAAACATTTGTTAAAATAATTTATTTGGTTTTGGACAAAGTTGGGTTCATCACCGGTTAGATTAAAAGCAAACGCAATTTGTTCAATTAGTGTTTCAACCCCACCAACATTTAACGTTGGGTTTAAAGCGGCGGCACAAGTAAAAATGGGGGGAATCTCCTTAAAATATTTTAAAAGTTTTTCCTTCATTGCAAAGCCAATTTCTTGAAAAACTTCGGTTTCAAATTCAAAGTCATTTAGTCTGGTAACCAACAAAAATATTTTGATTAAGAACCAACGAGCTAGTAGGGTAATAAACACCGGATAAAAAAGTTGTTGCATTTTTAAAAACCTCAAGCAAATCGGTTATTTTGGCTATAGTTTCCCTACTCGAATCCGGATAAATGTTTGGGACATGACCCCTCTCGAAAAGCCGATCGTGAAATGTTTGCAATGTTTCCCTTTGCCTTAAGGCAGTATGCATCATCATCCAAGTTGAGTTCCAACGAGTTGGACAATCCAAATTAGGACCCAAAGCTTTTTTATTAACGGACTTACAAAATCGTTTATAATCATTTAGTCTTTTGTTGTTGTTACAAAGAACCGATTTTATCATTGTTTTAAATTCTAATCTAATCGACTCAATAACCTCCAAACCGGCTTGCACGGATAAATTAATTATGTGTGCAACGCAACGGGTATGAAAAAAACGCACCGTCTAAAATCGGTGAAAGTAATATTTTCAATCTTGGAACCGCGTTTGTATTATTCGATGCATTATCAAAGGATATAGAAAAAACTTTATTTTCTAATTTATAAAGACAAATTACCCTTTTTAAAAGTGTAAATAAATTAGCACCGGTATGCGGCTCACCGAATAATTCAAACGCGATTGTTCTTTTCATAATTTGCCAATTATCTTGATCTAACCAATGTGACGTAACGGCTAAAAAAGAATTTCCGGTATTATGAGGGGAACTCCAAACGTCACATGTAAGCGACACACCATAACGGTGTTCTTGGAATCCTAAAATCATTTTTTCCCTCGCCGTACGCCACATTTTTATAGCATCTCTTCTAAGGGTAGTACGACTTACTTGAGTATAACGTGGTTGCATTAGTTGTTGAATTGTTGTCGTGAAATCTTCATCATCAAAGTGGTCGAACGACAATGCTTTTGTAATCACGAACTTTGTAAACGCTTCTCGTAATTTTTCGTTGTCGTAAACAAAAACACCACCTTGCGGTGTAAGATTCGATTGACTAGGATCCGATCTTGAGCGAAGTGCCTTGCATGATTTTGTCAAATGGTTCTTCAACGTTGTGTTTCCTTCCAATGCAAGAAACTTTAGACAAAGTTTACAACGCGCCCTCCTCGAGCCATTTGACATCTCACATAAATCGTAGTGATCCCAAATGTCTTTGTTTCGAGTGTGTTCGATCACTCTCACGACTTCAAGGTTTCCCCCGACGGAAGATTCAGCCGTGTTACTCATGATGAACAAAAAATTACAAAAATAAGATTTGAGAGATGTTTAAGTGTTGTGTAATAAGATTTGAGAAATTTGTAATCAACCAAATACATCCCCAACCTATTTATACATGTTTAGGGTGGTAAAATGGTAATTTTTTAAAGAAAAAAACGGTCAAAAACGGTCACAAAATCCCCCCCAACGGCTATATTAGCAGCTAGTTTTTTAAACCCAGACCGGTTTTTTTTCGGATAAAAACCGGTTTTTTAACCGGTTTTTTTCAAACCTGTTTTTTATTCGGTAAAAAAACCGGTCTAGGTTTTTTTCTCCAAACCGGTTAAAAAAAAACCGGTTAAAAAAAAACCGGTTTTTCCCAAATCCGGTTTCGAATATTTTTTTCGTAAAATCGGATATTCGGATTTTTTGTGCACCCCTAATTACCACCTCATAAATCAGTAAACATAACTGTATTAACGAAAAGGTATTGGTATTCGTACACCGGGTCACAAAGGTGATATACTAATTTTGTTTGACTTGATAATATGACATGTATAGCTTAGCATATTAACATGTTTCAAGCGATCATAGTGCAAAAATGCATATAAATGCTAAGTGTGCATGGACCATAGTAAAAGGTCTCTTTAGAACAGGATATGTTAAATCTTTGACCATGTATGACTTTGAAGTTTTGAATGGAATTGCAAGCCATATTTCAGGTTTAAACTATGTTTATGAAGGTTGTACCAAGGATGAATCGTATGAATTTTAAGGCTCCTGAAGCTCTTAAAACTACATATTTTGGACATTTAGAGAGCATAATATCGATATCCAACATACCTGGACATTTCAAAATTCAGCATAATCAAATTTTAACAGCCTACAAAATCGCCTTAAACATAGATTGAGACCATTGAATTGACTTTTGCTGAATCCTACTTGGCGCGACACCACCACATGACATCATATTTTTGTCCCGGGAAAACTTGGTATAAACACACACACACACACATATATATATTATTAGTTTGGGATGAATACAAAGTAGTATCTATTTAAATACATGATGCACAAACTCGGCACCTCAAGGAATAACAACAATTCCTTAACGTCATTTGGTTCGTGCAACATGAACACAACTTAAACATATAATAATCAGTATACATCTCCGTAGAGGTTTTCATGCAACACTATACAACAAAATAAGAGTCCTTTCCTATTCAACAACATTCACAAATGAGCCATCCATCCTACAAGTTCAATCATCTTCTCCACTTCTCGATTTCCCTAGTAGCTGCTATAGCTACCTTCTTGGTATTAATCACAAGCTCATCGATTAGGCCACTAATTTCATCCCTTCTCATTACAACATACAGACAAAACAAGTAGAGATTTGTTACTGATTACTTGACACTGTCCAAGTAAAAGCAAAATGCAAGCAGCACTGATTACTATACATTTTAACATTGCAACCCAGTTCTACAATCATTGAGATGCTCAAAGTGTAATGAGGAAAATGTTGATCTTGATGCCTTATGAAGCATTACAAAACAGGGGAGGAGTTGAGTTCGATGTTGAACACCAACCAGTTGAAACAATCAGGTGTTGCTCACAATTGATACAAATGAACCAGTTTCAAGAAAATCTATTGAAGTGTGGACAGCATTAAACATAATTCAAGAAGATGAATATAAAGGAATTTAAAGCGTGACCGCTACAAGATGTCAGGTCACACAACAAAATGTTGCTGGAATCTTCATGTGAACCATAGAACTCTTAATCCAAAGGGGCAACAAAAAGGACAAACACACTCTACTCAAGCCAATACCATCAGTAGTCTTACTAATCAGATTACTCCATGTAGTAGAGAGAATATTAATCGGCTGAAATTCCTCCATAACTCAAAAAGAAGAAAATAAAAAATCAAAATTATAAGTGCATGTTAATTAGCACTCTCAAGTTTCCTTCTCCATGTGCTCTTAGGGCATGGGTCCTCACTCAGCTCTTGGATCATACACTCCGGAGCAACCAACCACATGACTTACTAATCTCATACTATTTCAACTTACAACCCACGTCCTAGAAATTAAAAATATTACTGTAACAGGTGTTTCCTAAATAACAGTACCCGAGCAGGAAGACATTCACATCAGACAATCCTTAAATCCTGAACAATGTGTTGCATGTCCTGAAATAGTCTATCAACCTTATATCCTGAACAATGAAATGACCATCCAGCTCAGTTGGTAGAGCGCAAGGTTCTTAACCTTGAGGTCGTGGGATCGAGTCCCACGGAGGACATTTCATAAATTGGAGGTCTCTCACGGAAGCTGCTCTCAACCTGGCGTTGGGGGCAGCCTACTATCCTACCTCCCCCTTACCCCATTACATATGGGAATAAGGGTCAGCTAATTTTTTTATGAGGAAGAAGAATGAGAAGTTCTAAGGAAAACAATGGACTTTACTATCTTGAGTTTCCAGATAGCTATGTGGTTGTCCCCATTTCTTCAAAAGGAGAGAATTATTTACAAATCATCCGGTTTCATGAACTTAATAAAATTGGGGGGGGGGGGAATGATCACCTTCTTGAGACAAACTGTGCAATCCTTTTTCTGAGGAGAATTCCAATTTTGTGACTCATCTCTATCTCTCCCTCTCTTATAAATAACCACTCATCTCATTAATAGGGTTCCAATTTCCAAACAATTTATCTTCACACCATCCTCCCAAAGATAAGTTTTGTTTACTTCATCTTTTTATATCCAGACCCCAATAACCTGTTTTAAGAACTTTAATCCACATACACCTAGAAATCCAAAAACTTTCTTCACCAAAAGGGATGATAAATTTATAAATTAATAATAACTTGCTATGCCAGAAAGTAGGGTAACAAAGGTAACTATTTCCCATCAGCAAAACATGCATTTAAAATACAAGCAAAAGCTTCATTGAAGTCAATTCTATTATTTCTACAGACATAAAGAACTTACCAGAATAAAGCAGAAACAAATATAAATATAAATACTCACTGCAAAGGAGGATGCTGGTAGCCAAATAAGCTTTTAACATTGGAATATGTACGGTTCTCATCATGAGCGACACCCCTACCGACACCATAGCCAAATCCTAAACCAACCCCGCAACCAGCACCAAAACCAAAGCCAAATTGCAAGCCAGGAATTCCAGGACCAAAGCCAGCGCCTGGTGACAAAAAAACCATTCAACACTTAGCAAAGCTAAGAGTAGATCTGCATATGTAAACTGAATGGAACTATTTTAAAATTGAAGAAAATTAATAAATAACTGCAGCCTTAGGTCCATGCAATCCCAAAATAAGAAGCACAAAAAAAAAACATGGTCATTGACAAATTAAAGAGAATTTAGCAGTAGCCAGTAGGCCAGTGGTCTTCAATCTTCCAAAGCACAAAGTGAGACTAGCATCTATGTAATTATTCGCTTATTCAACAATTTTTTTTTCAATTATAAAGAAAATATATTGAAATCAATGAATAAAAAGCATGTCTATATTGCTAATCATGTAAATGGTCATTTCATCTCTGAAGTTGGGAAAAGAAATTCAAGAAGAGAAGATGGTTAAAAATGAATATGATTAGTAATGAAATACCTCCAATGAGGCCGGCACCAAAGCCGAGACCGCAGCCAGCACCGAGTCCGAAAGCAGGACCAACCTTACCGACGTCCTTGAGTTTAAGCTGCGGAAGTTTCCAAATAAAACCCTTGTCATCTTCTTCCACTGAAATTCTTTGCCTCCTGCCGTTTCCATTCATCGTCTCCTCTCTGGTTCACTTCCGCTGTGGGTTGGGCGGTCGGCGAATCAAAATAGGACCTAACTACAGGGACTGGGAAACAACAAAGGGAAGAGTTCTTACGTTATTGCCATTTACAAGTCACCAGCTAATTCTACCGTCAACCGGTTACCAAATGCCAAAATTGGGAACTATAAATTAGGGTAAATTATATAAATGGTCTCAATTATAGAGTGGTGTAGACTATTAAAAATTATAAATGGTCAACTTGATTTTTAAAAATTATAAAATGATTACTCAACCACTCAGATGTTTTAAATTCATCATTTTTCATTTAAAAAAATGGTTGTATGAACTGAATATTAATATGATGACTGAGATATGATAAAATTTAATCTCATAATCATTTGAATTTTATAGTCGTTTAATATTCTTAAATAAGATTTTATCATATCCTAATTAATATGATAACGTCCAATTCAAACGATTGCAAATTTTTTAACATAAAAAGATGAATTTGAAACATATGAATAGTTGAATGATCATTTTTTAACTTTTAATAGTCCGGTGACTCAACAAAACAGTGCCTATAATTGAGGACTATTTTACTTTATGGTTTGAGGATCATTTTTATACTTCACCCTTAAATTATCCCTTTTAGTTTAAGAAGCCTGGAACTTTCTTGCACGTAATACAGCGGCCTAATTAAAAATAGGATAAAATACATATTTAGTTACTAACTCTTTCTACAATTCCATTTTGATCACCTGTTTTTTTTTCAAAATTATACTTAAAATTATATTTTGTTATGTTTTGTTCACCAGTAGTTAAAAAATAAAAAAAATTATTGATGTGATATTTTTTATTTTTAAATAATGACATGATATTTTCTTATGGTGACACGTCAACATTCATCGTTAACTTTTTAAGTTAAGTGAGCAAAACGTAATGAAAATGTAATTTTAGGTATGATTTTGAAGAAAAAATAGTTGGTGATAAAAATAGAACCGCGAAAATAATTGGTGACTAAATACGTGATTTATTCTAAAAAATAAATACTTAAACTATCCTTTTTGTTCACTTTAAGTGTCTAAAGTTTTTTTTCTTAGCGAAAGTAAGGTACCTAACATTTTCAAAGTTATCATTATAAGGTCTATTCCGTCACGGTCATTAAAAGAATTCTATCAATCACTCAAAAAGTGACATGTCACGTATTTATACATTTTTTATTTTTTTATTGAAAAATATTTTTAAAATATTATTTTTAAAATATTAATTTCCTTAAAAAATTAATTTTTTTAAAAGAAATCCTTAATTTCAAAGTCCATTGTTACTGTTATCATCACACCTGAACATCCACCCACCCATTATCGATCATCCCTTAACTATCGACCCATTCTTTTAAAGCAACGATATGAGTATTTTAATCAAAAAAGGAAAGGAACATGGGCTTGCTGCAACCATTTTTGCACACTAGCACCCTGTGCAGCCCCCATTTTTATACAGCAACATGAGATATTTTTGGGGCGACAACAAAGGACGATTGACAACATGGTCTAGCGATGAGTGGATGAGTATTCAACGATAGATAGACAGTGTTTGATGACACCGTTAACAGTGATAATAAACTTTAAAATTAGGGTTTATGAATTTCAAGATTTGGGAATTAGAGATTTGTGGAAGAGCTTCATAAAATTAAAAATTATAAGTTTTTTAATTTAATATTAATAAAAAATTAATTTAATGTGTCAAATAATCATTTATTAACTTTTTTTAACGGTCGTTGATAGGATGACCTTAATAGAATAATAAAATAAAATTTTAGACACATTAAATAGTAACAGAGAAAATATTTGGCATTTACTATGATAAAAAAATTAGACACCTAAAGTGAACATGGTATAGTTTGTATATTTATTTTTTAGGATAAATTACATGTTTTTATGCATAAACTATTATTTTTGTTTCTTTTTGGAACCCAAACTTTACTCACTCTCTTTCAAAACCACCAAACATTTAGTTTAAGTTTATTTTGGTATTTTGCCCTTTAAAACTTAATGATAATGTTAATGTATAATCATAAGAACTTTTGATTCATCGAAAAAAAATTATCAAGGATAATATTTTTTTCAACAATTATTCTCACATTTGGTCCGTGAAAAGATAATTATAATTTAATAATTTATTACCAATAATAACATTTTTAGTTAAAATGGTGAGAATATTATTACCTCCAAATGCTTAGGTATTACACAATTTTCGTCACTTTGAACAAGAATACTCCTGAAATAATGAATTCTTTGGATCATTCTCAATTCTTATTCTTCATGTTTTACTCAAAATTATAAACATAATAATAATATACAAAGAGTTTGATTTAATAAAATATTAATAAATTTGAATAATTAAAATTATTTAATAATTTTAATATTTCCCTCAGTCCCACTAAATGTGTCTCTTTTGATTTTTAAAATTGTCTTATTCAAATTTTCATATTAGAAAAATAAACAAACAACAACACTTATATTTCCTTTTTTACCCTCATATGTCTCGCTCTTTTACACTTATCAAAATAAATATATCAAATCTATCAACTATTTTTAGGGATAATGTAACACCCCTAACTCATATTCGACCCGAATACAAGTTCGAGATGTCACATTGACTTTTCAAACTTTGATTCTTAAAGAAAAATCTCGGGAATTTAAAACTTTCATTAAAACAAAATACTTTAATTTACATAAAAGAGACCACTTAATACAAAATCGATCAGAGCATTCGTAATTAACCAATTATTACATACCAACACTTTATACATAACAAAATACCTACTTTGTCAATTACTTCTGATCTGATTTCTTAGTAATGTTGTTGTCCGTGCCACTTCTATTCTGAATCTTCTTATTTCTTAGTACCTACATGTAAATCACTTACACGCTAAGTCATAGACTTAGTGAGGCAATAAATGAATATGCAACAATATCTTCATGAATATGCATTCTTACCATTTCCTTCATGACATTTCAATATGCATGTATCTATTACACAATAACATATATAATCATATCATGCATGTACAAAACTTACCTTCTTGTACCACTTTCACTTTACTTTGTATTTCAATTGCCCATGTATATTATTGAGAATAGAGGTATGTGAGTGCATTGAGGTTGTGCACTAATGCTGTCACCACATCTCGTATCAATTCCCTCATGGGGCACCGAACCTTAGTTCAGTATTCGTCCCGAAGGACTGTCATATATGTCCAGTAGGACCACTACATCCCGAAGGACTACATCCCAAAGGACTATTATACCCTTGACTCTTGGCATGCCAATTACACCTATAGCTCTCATATCGTATACTATGGGCATTTTTCTTATATTTTATATGTTCATGTACTCATGTCATTTCTCTTGTGATCATGTAGTTCATGTCATTTCTCTTGTGATCATGTAGCTCGTGTCATTTCTCTTGTGATCATGTAGCTCATGTCATGTTCTCATTTCACATATCATATCACATGTGTATTTGAATCTATTCATATATATATACATCATTTATCCAATCATATGAACATATATATGCCTTATGCATGTATTACAATAATTATCATGTATGCATGTTCACAACTATTGTACTATGAAAATCAATATAGGAATTAGACTTATCACAAGTCTTATTCCATTATACTATACATATAGTATGCACTCACCTTAGCTTTGCTTTGATTCGATTCTAATCCTTTGATCGTTCCAGAATAAGCTTACTTTTTGTATCTACATAATCACACATGGATCTATATCAGTATTATAGCTAATATACTCTAATGGTTCACTCTTTAGATTAAGATAAATGTCAATTTCCTCTTTTAATGAAGGTATGCATCGATGCACTACTTGTGCATCGGTGCATAAAATGCATTCGATGTTTTATTATTAATGAGATGCATCGATGCACTAATTGCATTTGATCTTTTTATTTTAAAAGAGTGCATCGATGCACTACCTGTGCATCGATACACTTTCAAACACTTTCTGGGTTTTAACCTTGATGCATCGATGCACTATGAATATGCATCGATGCACTCTGCCCAGAATCCTCTTTTGGAACCCGAAAATTCATTCATTTTGGATTAAATCCTTCATGTTTAATCCTCTTTTTCATTCTTAACTATAGTACACATCCTTAAACCAATTTATACTCATTTATTTTATCTTAAACCTCTAAATTCTATCCTTCATATGTAATTTAAGAATTACATCAATAAATCAACATGTTTGAATTCCACTTCTAACACTTAGTATATCTTAACTAGATTGATGACAAGTCAAATTTAACTTTCAATTCTAGTTATGAACTATATTCCAAGATTTCATTTAAGAACTTCAAATCTTAAATCTCTCCTAACTCCATCATCCTTTGATGTTAAGATAACTTAAGCTTTCCTTAAGCTTAGTTATCATCTAATAATCAAAACCCAATATTAAATTTAACAAGAAACTCAATAATCAGAAATTTTACCTTTGCTTTGGTTCACACGCACAAGGAAGAAAGAAGAAGAAGAAAACTCTGGAAGTCTTGGGTGTTTTCTCCCCTTCCACCCACGTGTATCCTTATATATACATACTTATCCCTTCTTTAATTATTTTTCCTTGTAATTACTCTATTGTCCTTCCATTCCTTATTCATTTCAATTCCATCATACACAATAATTTACATGTAAATCTTTATACTATTCATTCATTTTATTTTAACCACAAAATTCTGAGACTTTACAATTTAGTCACTAACCCGGTATTGAGGATGTTACAACTCTCCCCCTGTAATATCCCAAATCAGGGTCAGTGACTAAATTGTAAATTTTGAAAGTTTTGTGCTCAATTTAGAAATAATTAAAAGTCTCAGGATTTAAGTAAAGAATTTTAATATTGGATTAAATAGCAAAGATGGATGAACTAAATGGGCAAAATAGTCTTTTCATGGGAAAGATTTTTATCTTCCCTTTTGAGTATTATAAAACGTGGGAAATATGAGAGAGTTCCAGACTTCTCTTCTTCATTCTCTTCTTTTCCACCGTGAAGACATAAGAAAATGTAAGATATCTTGTTAGTTGATATTTAGCTGAATTTAGGATTTGGTTATGATCATTGGATGATAATTAAGCTTAAGGTAAGCTTAAATCATCT